GCATGGTGGCGCATGCCTGTAGTCCCAGCTACTTGGGAGGCTGAGGCAGTAGGATCACTTGAGCCCAGGAGTTTGAGGTTGCTGGGAGCTAGGCTGATGCCACGGCACTCACTCTAGCCTGGGCAACAAAGTGAGACTCTGTCTCAAAAAGAAAAAAAAAATCCCAAAATATTAAGGGGATACAAGTTTTTTTTATACATAGTTATCTTGTACAATGCTTCAGTCAGGCTTTTGGTGTGCTCTCCACCAGAATAGTGTTCATTGTACCCAATAGGTAAATATTTATCCCATATCCACCCTCTGCCCTCTTGGTTTCACATGTCATTCATTTATTCATTCATTCATTCATTCATTCATTCATTCATTCATTCATTCATTTATTTATTTATTTATTTATTTATTTATTTATTTATTTATTTATTTAGAGACAGAGTCTCGCTTTGTTGCCCAGGCTAGAGTGAGTGCTGTGGCATCAGCCTAGCTCACAGCAACCTCAATCTCCTGGGCTCAAGCGATCCTGCTGCCTCAGCCTCCCAAGTAGCTGGGAGCCACCATGCCCGGCTAATTTTTTCTATATATATTAGTTGACCAATTAATTTCTTTCTATTTATAGTAGAGATGGGGTCTCGTTCTTGCTCAGGCTGGTTTCGAATTCATGACCTGGAGCAATCTGCCCACCTCGGCCTCCCAGAGTGCTAGGATTACAGGCGTGAGCCACTGTGCCAGCCTCTCATGTCCTTTATATTGCTGTGTGCCAGTGTGTACCCATCTTTAGCTCCCACTTATGACAACATATGGGTGTTTGGTCTTCCATTCCTGAGATACTTCACTTCGGATAATGGTCTCCAGTTCCACAAAATTTGCAATTTCATCAGTGTTTCTTGAGTTCTTCTCATTCTATTTCTAGTGCCCTATATCAGGCTCTTGACATCTGTCACCTGGGCTGCTGGAACTGGTCTCCTTGGTTCCAGTCCTGTTTCCCTGGAAGCCCTTTCTACATTGCTGCTAGGGTGGTCTTTCTAAAATACATATCTATCTGACCATGCTCTTTCCTGCTTTGTTCCTCCAGTGAGTGCCTCCTCATCACTGGCTTGTTCTATGGGCTAACATTTATTTAATATGTTCCCAAGCCCTTGGGACGTGAAGCTCACTGCCCTGGCCTTGTCTCTTATGCTTCTTGCCTTGCCCAAACCCACCTGCTGCTGCTTGCCTTTTTCAAGCTGACCCCTCTGGAATGCCTTCTGCATGCAGCAACCCTAACTCACCTCCACACTGCATGGAATTAGCCCCCCCTAGGCCAATTTCTAGTCCTACTTTGAGGTATCACCGCTTCCAGGAGACTTTCCTTTCCTAACTGCTAGAACCTTGGTTGAGAGTCCTATCCTTTTCACTCCTTTCTTTATATCCTTTATCTTTTCTTTATAGCTCCATAATTTCATTTACTACATGATAAACTGTTTTATAAAAGTCTTTTTAACCTCCCTGAGGATTCACTGCTTAATCTCCAGTGCTTAGCATAAAACATTAAATTTGAACCAGAAAGCGTTCCAAATGCTTTACATCTACATAACCTCACTGAGGCTTCACTGCACCCCATGCAGTAGACACTGTTACCTCTGTTTTATGGAGGAAGAGACAGGGACAGGGGGGATAAGTAACTTGCCGAGGTCAGGTGCTGGCCTTCAGGTATTCATGCCCAGGCAGTCTGGCTCCCCAGCTGGCATTTGTCACCACTGTATTTTATTGCCCCCATAGTGAGCGGTCAGTAAATGCTGAGTAAACAATGCTAGCTATGCACGCGAGCGCCTACTGTGTAGGGAGCTCCGTGCTGCGCGCTTTACCTGAATTTTTTTTTTAACTCCACAACAACCCTCTGAGGTAAGTACCATCATTATTCCCATTTTACATAGGAGAAAACAACTTTAGAAAAAGTTGGCAACCGCCTCAAGATCACACAGCTAATTAGCGGCACAGCGGCACTCGAAACCAACGTCCTGTCTCAGCCCTACACTGGAGCGCATGAGACCAACAGCCCGGGCGGACTGGCGCCCGGTGTGATGGGCGTGACACCTGCAGCCCGGCCCGAAACACAGGTGGGAACCTCAGCCGTGGCGCAGGCTGACTCACACCCCGGGCCAGAGGAGACCAGCCCGGGAGCCGCGACCTAGAATCACAGGCAAATGGAAATCGGCGTCAGCACCACGGCAGCCCCTCCTTGACCCAGTGCCCCTTATCCTCCGGGCTCAGGAGCCGGCTGCCCGGCAGCGCGAAGGTCTGGTCGGCGGAGCGCTCCTCCCGGGGGCCCCAGGCGACGATGCCATCAAAGGGCCAGTTCTGAGGTGAGACGGTCCGGGCGCCGACTCCGCGGCAGCGGGGGAAGGGTTAACCTTCCCGCAGGCCCCGCGGTAACCGCCCGGTGGGCTCGCGGCGTGGGCGGGCGCGGGCGGGGCCGGAGCGCGCCAACGCCGGTCCGCGGGCGTGGCCTCGGGCGGGCGCGGCGCGAGAGGGTTACCCGGCCCGGCGGGCGGGCCGGGCGCGGCGGGGCGGCGCTGCAGCGAGCGCGGGCGGGCGGCGCCCCGCGCCCCGGCTGCTGACGCCGGTGGCCGCCGGGCTGAGAAGCCCAGCGAGGTGCGGGCGGGGGCTTGGGGCCGGCCATGGGCACGGCCCATGGTGAGGCTCGCAGGGGCGAACTCGCGGGTCTCCGCGGCCCGGCGCGGACGGGGAGCGCAGGGCGACGGCCCGGCGCCTGGGGGGCGCAGAGGGAGGGGCGGGCCCGCCCGCCGACGCGGGTGGAAGAATGGGGCCTGGGCAGGAGCTCCCGGCGGGGTTCCGCGCTCCATGCCCCTCTTCCTCCCCTGCCCTCCAGGTCAGCCCCGCACTGGAGTTCAACTTTCAGAGGAGAGGCGACCCAGCCAGGCTCTGTCGGGGAGTCCTTCAGCTCCTCACCTCCATGGGCCAGACGGCCCTGGCGGGGGGCAGCAGCGGCACCCCCGCCCCACAGGCCCTGTACCCCGACCTCTCTTGTCCCGAGGGCTTGGAGGAGCTGCTGTCTGCGCCCCCCCCTGATCTGGGGGCCCAACGGCGCCACGGCTGGAACCCCAAGGACTGTTCAGAGAACATCGAGGTCAAGGAAGGGGGGCTGTGCTTCGAGCGGCGGCCCGTGGCCCAGAGCACTGATGGGGCCCGGGGTAAGAGGGGCTACTCGAGGGGCCTGCACGCCTGGGAGATCAGCTGGCCCCCGGAGCAGAGAGGCACGCACGCTGTGGTGGGCGTGGCCACGGCCCTCGCCCCGCTGCAGGCTGACCACTACGCGGCGCTGCTGGGCAGCAACAGCGAGTCGTGGGGCTGGGACATTGGGCGGGGGAAGCTATACCATCAGAGCAAGGGGCCCGGGGCCCCCCAGTACCCAGCCGGACCTCAGGGTGAGCAGCTGGAGGTGCCGGAGAGACTGCTGGTGGTTCTGGACATGGAAGAGGGAACTCTGGGCTACGCTATTGGGGGCACCTACTTGGGGCCAGCCTTCCGCGGACTGAAGGGCAGGACCCTGTATCCGGCAGTAAGCGCTGTCTGGGGCCAGTGCCAGGTCCGCATCCGCTACCTGGGAGAAAGGAGAGGTGAGGCCTGGGACAGGTGTGGGGAGAATATTCTGTTACTGGTGGCAGCGGTTGGGATGAAAACTCAATTTTGGAAAAGAGCCGAGGGGTTAGGCCTGCATCTGACCTGCCTTCAGTGCCAGGAAGGCTAAGGGTCTTTACAGTTGTTATCTATATAATCCACGAGCAATAGAGGTAAAAACAGGCTTGGGAAAGAAACTTGCTTAAGTTTTCTTGGCTAGTAAGTGGGGAATCCTCAGGATGGAGGGAAGCACTCCAGGAATTAGGGTTTTACAGGAGATGGCTCCCTGAACAAGAGGTACAAAGGGTTAAATGGGTACTGGGCTAGGTGTGCAGATCCAAAAGGAAGAGGACTGGCAGTGCCAGGCACCCAGGTGTATACTAGACTCCCTGGGCCCTGACCTGTGTCTGTCCCAGGATGGAACTATTGATGCCCTGGCACCAGGAAGGAGAGCTGTGAGGAAGCAGGGCCTTGGTGTGGGGCTGCAGAGGAAGACCCTCCTTGGGAACTGACTGGGGCCAGCTCTCTGCAATTGCTTTCAGAGGTGGATGATGCCTCTCATCAGCTGCGGTGAGCCACTGCAGAGTGGAGGAAGGCCATCCTTCCTCTTGCCCCATCAGCCCTAGCTTCAAGACCTCTCTGGAATCAAAGGCTGGTCAGCTTCAGCACTGTCAGAGCCACAGTGGCCTGTTGCTTAGAGGGCCTTAGAGCTTCACCCCTAGGTCTGACTACAGATGTGAGAAATCTTAACTGTGACACAGAACTTCAGGGTACCTTCAATTTCCCTTTCAGCAAAGGTGGGGCAGACTGAGCAGGAAAGCCAAAGGGCACCTGGGCAGGCCCTGTAGTTTTAGGATGTCTGGCTGGTGGCTGCACCCCTTCTTACCTTCCACTCCTTCTCTCTCCCAGCGGAGCCACACTCCCTTCTGCACCTGAGCCGCCTGTGTGTTCGCCACACCCTGGGGGATACCCGGCTTGGCCAGGTATCTGCTCTGCCCTTGCCCCCTGCCATGAAGCGCTACCTGCTCTACCAGTGAGCCCTGTGATACCACAGATTGTGTTGGGGCCTCGCCACCACCCTTGCCCTGGGGAGGCGCTGCTAGCCCAGATCAGCTACTTAAAGCCAGTGAGGCTGGGCCCCTGCCCAACCCCTGCTCTGGGAATGGCTCAGAGCCATTCAGAGGGGGGAGGAAGGGAGGTGATATTCAAGGCTGTGGCAGCCTGGTACGAAAGACATTTTTTCAAGTAAAAATAGTGAGAGATGTGTTGTTATAGAAACCTGTTTGTGGTCTTTTCTTTTTTGCACAGGGATAAACTTCTATGGCTGCTTCAGAAAGAAAAAGAGTATATGGGCAAAGACAGGGAAGGAGGACAGACCACAAGGCTTAGTGCCAGGTGTTTTATTTCCCTCACGTGGGATGGGTCACGTACATAACACACAGGCATCGGCACCATGGGAGAGGGGAGCACCCCCGGCCTCTACGGAGAGGAACCTGGCTTCAGGGTGTGAGAGGGGAGAGGAAGATGGTTTCTTTCTCCTGCCTTCACTGGGGCCTGGGAGGACCCAGAAGCAAGCTTTACCCCTTCCACCTCTCAGCCAAGAAAGCCACCTTGGTGACATGTTTAGTTCCAACCATCATACTGAGTGGAGAGGGAGTGGCCTGGTCCCAACCATTATGGGGGAAGGTATAAACGGTAAAGGAAGGTATAGTTTGGAATAGGCCATGAGAGGGTGCTGATGACACCATCAGAAGCATGTGCAGGGTGGGGGCAGTTACTGGACTTCAGGGCTACCTAATCCCTGGCTTAGCAGGAAGAGTAGGGAAGATGGATGGGCCTATTGTTTGGCATTGATGATGTCCACAAATTCGGGCTTGAGGGAAGCGCCACCCACGAGAAAGCCATCCACATCAGGCTGGCTTGCCAGCTCCTTGCAGGTTGCCCCTGTGACAGAACCTAGGAAGGGAGCAGAAGGAGGCTTGGTCAGGGATGGCATGAATACACACCATCCCTACCTCCATGTCTGAGGCTCAGTCTGGTTCTCAGCCCACCCCACCTCATTGCAGAGCCAAACCCACTCACCTCCATAAATAATACGGGTACTCTGAGCCACTGCATCAGAGACATTGGACTTAAGCCATCCCCGGAGCTTCTCATGTACTTCCTGGGCCTATAACAAGAAGCCAGCCTAAGCTCAGACAGGAAAAATCACTGGCACCAGTGAAGAGAGTTAGTGTGGTTTCTCAGCAAGAGCCCTAGGATCTGAGCCAGAGTAACAGGGCTCCGATCCTAGCCAAGCTGTGAAATAGATGCCCTTGGACAAGTCACAGTCCCTCTGGGCTCCAGAGTGTCTTTTGTCTTTAAAAATGAGGAGTTGGCCCAGATGATCTCTGTCCAGTCCTACTGAGGCTAGATAGGATGAGGGCAGGGGGGCTTGGTTACCTGTTGGGGTGTTGCAGTCTTGCCGGTACCAATGGCCCATACAGGCTCATAGGCCAGGACAACTTTGTTCCAGTCCTTCACATTATCTGCAGGACAGAGATCACAGATGGAGGGAGGGGTGAACAGGAAGGAGCCACCTAGCCAGACTCCCTATGGTATGAAAAACGATGGCCTGCTGCCCCCTGGTGGATGTTGTTAGATTTTCAGGTGGCATCCATGCCTTCAGGGGCAGGAGCAGAAGTGAGAGGGACCAAGTCTCCAGGGAACCTGACCCCACCCTCTGAACTCCGTGGCCCTGGCTAGGCTCAAAGGTCCTTTTTTCTAGAGATACCTGCGATGACCTTGGTTTGCTCGAAAACAACCTTCTCAGTGATGCCAGCTTCCCTCTCATCTAGCTTTTCCCCGATGCAGGCGATTACTCCGAGTCCCTCTGACAGAGCATGGGCCACTTTCTGCCCAATCAGCTGTTGAAGAACAGGCATGGTGAGACATCCCTCTTGGAATAAGGCATCCCTTATTTCCTCTCTTGGTTACTAACCTCATCCGACTCCCCAAAGACATGCCTTCTCTCTGAGTGCCCCAGGACTACCCATGTGGCTCCACAGTCTTTGATCATGCCAGGGCTAAAAGAAGAGATAGAGACAAGGTTCAGCAGGGAGCCCACCCTGTCGCTTTCTCTACAATGAGGAAAGTGAGGGAAGGGTCCCCACGCACCCTCTCTGCCTCCATCTCACCTGATCTCCCCAGTAAAGGCCCCATTAGTCACTTTGTAGCAGTTCTGCGCAGCCACAGCAATCTTGGGATCTAGCTTTTGCCGGACGAAGTCGATGTAGGCAGTAGGGGGTGCACAAACCACCTCTGAGCATGAGATCCAAGAAAGCCTTCATTCTCCAGACTTCCTACTTAGTGCTCTGGAGCCCCCCAGCCTTCACCCTCTTGGTTCTGCGCTCTCCCCTTTTCACCCCAGCAAAATGACCTCTGTCCACTTTCCAGCTAATGCTGGGCCTGCACCCAACTCCCAGAGCCTTCCAGGTGACCCTGAGAGGCCATGGCCCTCACCTTACCCTCTGCTCTTTTACCAGCTGTGGGTCCAATTTCTTCAAGCTATTCTGGGCATGGGCACCTCCTAGACTCAGCATTCTCTAGGGGCCAACCCTGCCTCCCTTCTAAAATAGCCCTTCACCACCTTCCTCAGCAAGGCAAGGATGTTTAGTAAAAGGGGCCAACTCCTGAGTTAGTATTGGGTTTCTGGGGAGTAAACGAGAAGGGGATGCCTCTTTTGATGATGGTTCCGTGATCTAGGTTGGTGGGAGGGGAAGGATGGAGGAATAGCGCTTTTGCTCGTGGGTGGCAGGGAGATGACTGGCTCATAGAGGTCTTGCACTTTCCCGTTTCCAGGTTGAAGGAAGCTGTAGGCTCGCTCCTCACTCCCAAATGGCTCAGCCTGCTCAGTCCCTTTGGTGGAAGGCAGGAGTCGCCCAGGCTGACGAAGGGTAGGGGTCAGAGCTGTGGCTCAGGGGGCGAGAGCAGCTGGGCGAGGGGAATCGGCGCGCCGGCAAGGCACTGGGAGGAGTCTCTGGCTACGTGCGGCGGCGCACGGAGCTGGCTGCCGAGGGGGCAGGTGGCCGGGAACCCGCGCAAGCTCAGCCTCCTCCCCCGCACTCAAGGGCTGCAGCCAGCTTCTCCCGATAGCCCACGGAGGCCCAGGCTCCGCTCCTACCCCGCGAGTCCTGGCCGGTGCAGCCCCAGTCCGCGCCCTAGGGCCATCTCCCTCCTGGCACCCCTAGAAGTCCACTCCCGCCCCACCGTCCGCGCGGGCACCATTAAATGCCCAGCCTTGCCCGCTCGACACACCTCCGGTTCTCCGGCTGCGGGGCCCACGCTCGGACACCCAGAAGCCCTCGTCCCCAAGCCCTGCGTCCAGGTGCAGGCAGACACTCGGAGCTCGGGAGAGGGCGCTGCCACGCCCGACCCTCGGCCCCGGCCCGACCCCTCCCTGGCAGGGGCTCACCGGTGTCGGCCGGCACCTTGGCTGCGTTCAGAGTGCTGATGAGCTCCCCCAGAACCTTCTTCCGCCCGTTCATCTTCCAGTTCCCCCCCACGAAGAACTTCCTGGAGGGCGCCATGGCGCTGGAGGCGACACACTGAAGGTCAGTATCACCGCGCAGCCGCGGCCACTGGCTGCTTATATAGAGCGCTGTGAAGCAGAACTCCGCCTCCCCGCCGTCCTCGGCCATGGTGAGCCCGCCCCGCCGGGAGTCCGCCCCCGGCCCGCCCGCCGCCCGCCTCTGGCCGCTGTCGCAATGTTCTGACGTTCCCCCCGTTTCTTGTAGCAACGTTCTACACGAAACGTCTGGCAGGGCTCAGTCGCCTCTGCCTCAGTTGTCTGGCTTTCAGGAGAAGACGAGAACTGGGACCCTCTGCGTCAGGAACCCCCGCTGCGCGACCTCAGCCCCCCACAGGGCCAGAGTGGGTTCCGAGTGACGCTGGCTGGCTGCAAGTTAGCTGTAGCCCAGGTTGCTCTCTGGGGCTGAGAATGCTGAGGGCATCGCTCCGACTCTGGGAAAGAGAAGCCCCTTCTCCCATCGGAGTGGCTGCTTCCCCATTGCTGGGCACATACAGGGTCCGGAGTGGGAGGGGCAGCTCACATTGGCATAAACTGTGCCTGGAGTATCCCACTCTTGGGCTCCAGCCCGCTGAGGCCTGACAAGAACAGCAGGGACTGAGGTTCATGAGGACACTGGGAAACCCTTGGGCCTACTCTGTGTGACTACAGGAAACAAGGAAGGGCTCTTCACCCCATCATCCCTTTGCCTTGTGTTCTGCGTTTATGCTACTCTACTCCACGTCCCCACCCAATTTTTCCAAGACCAGTTTTCCAAGACCAGAACCAGTGAAAAGTAGAGAGCTGCCTAGGGAGGGGCAGGGGACAGAGCTGGCAGTTTTCTGAAACTGGCCCTCCTGCTAACCCCAGAAGATAAGTCTCTCCCAAGGTATCAAACAGGACACAGTTTAGCCATTGTACTTTTATTCACATCGTGTATTTTGGCATTTTCCAGAGAAGTAAAGGGAAGAGACGGTGGGGGGAGACTGAGGCAGGAGGGCAAGGGTGGCTCCCCATTTCCCTCATATCCCTCCTTGCCCAACCACACAGGGGCAAACACAAAGGGGGGAGGAGGCACAGGTGCTCCCTCCCCAGGAAGAGGCTGCACAAAGCTACACCCACGCACACACACAAATAAGACCCCTCCCCTCCACACCAGGGGGCTGGGCAGGGTTACACAGAAGCAGAGCACTGTGGATTCCAGGGACAGGGGAAGCAACAAAGTCTCTTTACAGACAGGTGGTCAGCCACCTCCTGTCCCCTTCCTGCTCCATCCCCAGAGTCTATAGCCCCTCTGCCATAGCTTGGCCATTCTCCTATGGCCTCCAGCTTCTTCCGTGCTGCCAGGAACAAAAAGAAAAAGGGTGCAGAGCAGGGGGCTGAACTCCATCCCTCAGCTCCTATCCCTCATGCCAGGTGGGCTGTCCCCTGCCCTTGGTGGTAAGGGTGAGGGCAGATTCTTAGCTGGCTACTCTCTGGTAGAAGTAGATGTACCCCAGGTCCTTGGGTGGCTTCTCAGAGGCACACACTTTCTGGTCGTTGTAGATCACCCATCTAGTGAAGTGGGGGAAGGGACAGGAAAGGGTGAACAACTGGGCATTGTAGTTGCATCAGCTTAGCCTCAGACATAGCCCCTGGAGGTGATGCTGGTGACTTTGGGGCCAAGGCTCCCAAGAGTCTCTGCCTGGACCCCCAAAACCTACAATGCAGCTGCTACCTGTCTGAAGAGAGCATCAGGATCTTGCAGCAAAGGGCAAAGGTCATTTCTCATATTCACTGTCTTTCAATTTCTCCAGTGTCTTTACAGCCACCCCCACCCACTCCTGTTAGGCAAGGGGTTGGCAAACTTTTTTGGAAAGGGCCAATTAGTACATGTTTAAGGTTTTTCAGGCCATCTGGCCTCTGATACAACTACTCAACTTTCCTGTAGCAGTGTGAAAACAGCCACAAACAATATATAAGCAAGTGTAGCTGTGTTCCAGCAAAACTCTCTTACAAAATCAGGTGGCCAGATTCAGCCCTTGGGCTGCAGTTTGCCTAATCCTGCTGGAAGACATCGTCTCATGCTCTGGGGTGTCTGTGCCCCCATCAGTCAGTCCTTTGCCTTCTCCCACAAATGTTCTAAGGACTTCAAAGACACCCCTACTACTAGTTCCCACCTCCACTTCTCCATGCAAAACATACGCGCAGCCCCTCACCTTCCTTCCTTCTTGATATGGCAGACGTAGTGACCACACATGGTAGAGGTGCCCATGTGACTAATGAAGGCAAAGAGCTGATACTCTAGGGAGGGAGAGAGACAGGGTAGAGAGGGAAATGAGAAGATCCTTGGGTGACAGTGTAAAGATAAATAAAATAACTCAAACTAGGGACAGGAGTTTCAGGGACTGTGGGGCATGTACCGGGCCAATGGCTGTCTCAGCTGCCTAGAGTCCCACCCTCAGAAGTCACTGGTGGAAAGAAGCCTCTGACCCCTAAGGAAAACAGAGCTGCCTTGGGATGAGGGATCTAGTGTGGCAGATCGGCTAGATTCTACCAGGGTGTGTTCCCAGGGACACTCACTTCCAGGACCATCCCGGACTTTAGGTCCCACGGGTACAGACTCAGAGATGGAGTCAGCAGCCGAGCGGCCCTCTGAGATGTCCATGGCAGCCTCGGCATCCAGGTCATCAATGTGACTGAAGATCCAGTCCACAGCCCGCTCTAAACTATTGTTCTTGGAGAGGAGGGAAGCATTATTTTTTCTAACAAGTTCTGGGGCAAGAGAGCCCGCAGTGAAAGGAAGCCTCAGCTCCTTCATCACAGCCGCAGAGGGGTGGCACCACCTTTGTTGTCCTTGGTCTTGTTCCTGGAGGATGGACCGACACTCCCACCCCTTTCTTCCCCACCAGCCCCAAGCCCTTAGCTGGGGCAGCCCATACCGTGGCCCGCAAAGCTTTCAGGGCCTGGTCCCGGGAGAAGCCCATGGAGACAATGGTGGTCACGCAGTCCTCTGGCGGGGGCTCAGCTGCTGCACTCGTGGAGCCAGGCCCACTGGAGCCAGGCAGGATGAGGGGGTTTGCAAAATCTGTGGATGAGAAGGGGTTGAAGTGTTTGGGGAGGTCAGAGCCCCTGCCCCATCCTACTACCCACCCCTGCCTACCTGGATCGTCCATGTGCGACATGACCCAGTTCATGGCAGCCTCAGCGCCACTGTTGCCTGTGTAGTAGACGGCTTTTCGGCAGGCATCCATGGGGAAGCCCATCTCCACCAGCTGGATGATGACGGATTCATCCAACATGGGTGCTGCGACAGGGAAATGTGGGCATGACTGACCACCTCCCTCCCACGGCTACTCCTCCCTCCCCCAGGCCTGCCCCCAGCCCTCTCCCAATCACCCATTACGTGCATCTTTCTTCACGGACTGGCAGCTTATCCCAGAACTATAATGACCACACAACGTAACGTGGGTCAGACAGGTTCCTGCCCGCTCCCACAGAACCGGCCCTGTTTCTGGAGCACAATACTCCCACCCTGCCCAAACCAAGGAGGTGACAAGGGCAGAGAGGCACTCAGCCAACGCTCCTGCCATCCACACTGGGAATGTGACTGGAGTGCTCCAGTCAGTCCCCACCTCCATCGAAAGAAGGCAGAGGAAATTTGAAAGGGAGGACAGGAGAAACACAAAGGGACAGTGTCAGGGAGGCAAGACAGAGGCCCCCATCAGCAAGGGAGACAGGCAGGAAGAAGAGTCACTAACATGTTGGAGAGGAGAAGTGAGGGGAGCAGAAGGAGTCTTCGTCTTCGTTGCCATAGAAACCAAGGCTACCTTTGGGCTCATCCGGAGTGACCAGGGGTGGGGCAATGTCCGGCAGCTCCTCCTCTCCCGGCTGCAGCCCTGTACCCCTCAACTGGGAGATGTCCAGCTCCTCTGGCATCTCGATGGACACATCTGCAGGAAAGGGGTCACCTCAGCAGCTCCCTGAGGCCCTCCTAGAAAAGCACTTTGGGGGCTTCAAGCCCCTGTCCTCTATCTCAGAACTGCTCTCTGACAAGAAGCTGCTACAAGCAGTACCAATCTTAGGGGTCCCACCGTAAGAAAAATAACAGTGCGCCCAGGAATCAGGAGCCCAAATGCAAGTCCTAGATCCACCATAACTGAGCTACGGGCAAGGCAGGGCACCCAAAACTCGTGAGACAGGGTGATTTTATACTTCTCTGTGTCTCAACTTCCTTATCTAAAATATGAAGGTAAATCAGTATTTCTCAAATTACAGTCAGGGACCTGTAAGACTCGTAAGAATTAATTGTTTCAAGACTATCAAAATGAAAACATCTTGCCAATTACAAAAATAAAACTATGAAAATCACTTTGGGTGGTAAATCATACCTATAAAATCAAAGAAGTCTTTTAACATTTTTAGTCAGTGCTTTTCAAACTAGACACATTTTGAAATATCTAAGGTCATTTTTTTTCCCTTTTCAGGGGAAAGTTTGAGAAACACTAGTTTTACATGTGTAAGGCCCCTTCTTTTTCTAGCATGTTCCACTCAACCTCCCTCATCCCAGCAACCATACCCAGTTTCTTGGGCACCCAGTCTAAGCCGAAGGTAAACTTCTTGATCTGGATGACCAGGTAGTCAGGGAACGAGGCAAACCGTGTGGTCCTAGGGGAGAGAATGTGCTGGTACCCAGAGAATCCCCAGGCTTCTCCCGTCCTGACTCCCACCCTGGGGCTCAGCCTCTCATGGGCAGAAGTCCCAATAATCTAGAAGATATTCCACACTTTTCTTGTCCCCCGGCAGGTGGGCAGGCATCTGATGTCTGTCCTCAGCCAACAAGGAGCAGCAGAAGCCAGAAGGACGGGTTTCACTGGCAGGAGCAGTGAAGGGCTGGGTGGCTGACTCCCTTGAGACTAAAGCCCTCCTTCACATTGCACCCCGTACCAGATGCCAAAGGCTAGGCAGAAAGTAGGGCCACTGGCTGGAAATCCAAACTCTGTCCACAGCTGGGGTTTTTTTGTTTTTTTTGAGACAGTCTCACTTTGTTGCCTAGGCTAGAGTGAGTGCCGTGGCGTCAGCCTAGCTCCCAGCAACCTCAAACTCCTGGGCTCAAGTGATCCTGCTGCCTCAGCTTCTCGAATAGCTGGGACTACAGGCATATGCCACCATGCCCGGCTCATTTTTTCTATATATATTAGTTGGCCAATTAATTTCTTTCTATTTATAGTAGAGACGGGGTCTCGCTCTTGCTCAGGCTGGTTTTGAACTCCTGACCTCGAGCGATCAGCCTGCCTCGGCCTCCCAGAGTGCTAGGATTACAGGCGTGAGCCATCGCGCCTGGCCCTGTCCACAGCTGTTACTACGTGCCTGTGCTCTGGCATGATCAGAGGAGGAGTGGAGAGAGGCTGCACTAGAAAGACACCCTGCACCATGAAAAAAGTGGGAGTGGTTGGGGCAGGACAAGGGGACAGATGTAGTCATTGCCATGTCTATCCCTGCAAGGGCCTCTTCAGGAGATTACCAGCCTCAAGTGATTCAATCCTGAGATTCCAACCACACAGGGATGAAAGAATAAGAAAAAGGCAAAGATACTTCTTTTGGGATCACCCTGCCATAGACCCGCAGCTCTATTTAGGCCCTGACCAAAGGACATACTTTTTTTTTTAAGAGATAGGGTCTTGCTGTGTCACCTAGGCTAGAGTGCACTGGTATGATCTAGCTCACTGTAGCCTCCAACTCCTGGGCTTAAGTGATAACTCAAGGCTCAGCCTCCTGAGTAGCTGGGAACTATAGGTGCATGTCACCACACCTGGCTAATTTTTTTATTTTTTGTAGAGATGGGTTTCACTATCTTGCTCAGGCTGGTCTCGAACTTCTGCCTCAAGCGGTCCTCCTGCCTCGGCCTCCTGAAGTGCTGGGATTACAGGCGTGAGCCACTGCGTCCGGCTCAAAGGACTTACTTGACAGCTACCGACTTGGCCTGCAAGGCTGTGCTCCAGAAGTCGTCCACCTGCTCGGGGGCCCCGTAGGCCTCCAGGCAGGAGCTGAAGGGCACCTGGGCCCGAACCAGTTCTGGCAGTGGCATCTTCTCCTCTTCGGCTTGCCGCTTCTTCTCCTCATACTCCAGAAGCTCCTCTGGTGATAGAAAGGGTTGGTGGGTCCTTCAGAGGCTGCTGCCCTTTTACCTACTTGGCCTTGCCCTACTGGCCCTCTGTGCACAACTATCTACCCTCCGAAAGTACCTCTGACACACACCCATCACATCTTGCCTTTCTGTTTCAACACAGCTCCGATAAGCTGAGATTGCACTGGGCATGATTAATCCTACATACCCTGGCGGCCCAGCTTCAGACCTCTGGCTGGTGGAGCAGGGCATACCGTGGGCTCTGTGCCTATCAGGTGCCCTGGCATCCATCATAGACCTTAGCCTCCAAAGCATCAAGCCTTGCTGACAGGGCAACCTACCTTTATTAAGGGCTGCATCCATGGGCACAGGCAGTTGCATGATGTAGTCAACTCGCTGGGTATACTTAACTTTCTCTGTGGCCAGGCACTTGATCTTTTCCTCCACCAAGAAGCGGAACACTTCATTAGGATTTTCAGAGCTCCGGCAATTCCTCTATGGGAAAGAGGCAGGGTAGGGAGGTCTGGGCAGCCAGGGAATGGCACCTAAAAGGTTCACTGGGGAGTCAGGCAGAGAAGGGAGACTACCTCTTAGGGGTACGGGGATGCAAAAGTAGTGTAGAAACTTTCCCCAATTAACCATCCCCTCCCCCTTTCCGGCCCCATCCTAGCACTGTGGGACTGTGTTGCAATGTGCTTGTATTTCTCTTTACAAGCAATTAAGCAGTCTCATATCATTTTCTTAATTAGGCTGCAAGCCCACCAAGGGTAAGGATCATGGCTTGTCTTTACTCTTCTCCTCAGGTGCAAACACTACCCACAGGGAAGGCTCAGTGCATGTAGACTGCTGGTGTACAGGGGTGGGGATGATGGAGGAAGGAGTGGGCAGGAGGGAGGGGGAGTAAACTGAAAGCAGACAGGGATGCCATCTTCCCAGCCCTTACCTCTACCATGTTGATAAGGTGAAGGAAGAACTCCTGGGCATCCTGCTGCCGGTTGGTGGAGAACTCAGGGTGACCCTTGCCAATGAGGGCCTTGAACATCCGAGGGGCAATGCCATCTTGAACTTCCTGGGCAGAGCCAGGGCAGGGACTCAGCTGAGGCTCAACTCAAGGGCCATCAAATGGCCTTCTTCAGTCATCTCTCAGACCCGTTTCCCCATATTCCCAGAGCCTGAAAGGGACAGAGTCCCAGGAAACGCACCTTTTGATCTGGCACCTGCTCCCCGTCGCCTGACTCCGGTGCTGGCTTGGAATACTCTCCTGAGAGAAGGCCATGGCCCAGCTTGGCCCTGTGTTAATATCCAAGAAAACTATTTTGTTTCAGTCAACTAACTATGCGTACATCTATCTGTGTCTTTTCCTCCCCAACTCAACCTTTGCTCATAGCTCTCCTTAGACCTAACTCTCTGAAATGTGAAGAACCTTAAGTTCCAAAGGAACCCCGCTCAAGACAGACAACATGCCCAGAAGGCGGTGACCAAAAGCTTCTAATGGGCCAAGGTATAAACTGCTATGCACTCCAAGTGATCATGGATGACGAGTAAGGGTATGCTGGGAGGCTCTCAAATGCCTTTGTACATACGACCTGGCTACATACACCTGGGTGCTGAAGTCCTGGGTAGGGTCCGTCGGGGCATTCTGGAAGATCTTCTCCAACTTATCCACATACCTAGAAGTCAAGGGAAGGATAATTAGAGGGGTTCTGGCCTGATCTCCAAGGAAAAGGGAAGGGAACAATTATTACTGACTCTGTGAACAGGCTACCCCAGAGCAGGGAGTCACAGCAGTTAGACCCTGGAGTCCATTTCTGTCCAGCATCTGCCTGTTCTCCCCTTAAACTATGTCCAGTGTGGAGTGTTCTTTCCCTGCCTCCTCCTCACGACAGAGCCAGGGGATGGGAGAAGGAAGCCTGGGATTAGGATAAACACAGTTCATATTCTACTGGACAGAACTTACTGACACATTCTGAGCTTTCATGTTGTTTCCCAATTAGACAGTAAGCTCATTTATGCTGAGAACATAAGACAGTAAGCTCGTTTATGCCTTTCTTCTTGGTGTCCCCTCCCCCCTCTTCCCAAATGCTACATATCCACGTGAGGTGCTCATTTGATGTCACTGGCCCGAAATAAAGACCACCTGCTACTCCTTGAGTCTGTCAGAAGGCTGCAGAGCCCTGGGACGTGGCCCTCTGCTCTGCGGGGTTTGTGTGTACTGGGCACAGCACACCAGCCAGAGTGCGACAGGAACTATTCTAGGACTGAGATCAAGCACAGAGGTGTGAAGGGCGCTGAAGGAAGACTGTGCCCAGAGGCTAGTGACCAGCAGAGGGGCCAGGGCGAGCAACTACTCACTTCCTCTGGAAGTCAGGGATGCTGAAGAGCACCTGGACCACGGAGTTGAGGTAGCAGCTGTTACCCAGGTTCCGGATGCCTGTGTAGCCGGGCCCGAACAGGGGCTTAAGTGGCACACTTGACTCCTGAATCAGCTCCCATTCGCCGATCCGCTGGTTCATATCTATCTCCAACTCGGTCATCGTCTTGTCCGTCTGTGTGGGAAGGGGCACTTCAGACTGGGTGAGAAACTCAGCCTTGTATTTTTCACCTTGATCTCCCCCTGACTCTAGGGTGATACTCAGCTGCAGCTTAGAATTTGTGGAATTACAGGCTCAAACATGAGAGGCACACTGAGTATCACCCAGCCCACGTTCTGGAAGGCTACAGAACGTTGTCCCACAGGCCTGTATGACATCAGGTCTCTGCTTGAATAAGGGAATGAAATGAGTAAGATTCTCTACACCTGAAATGTTTTTCCCATTCTAAAATTACCCCTGCCTCACCTTCAGATTGTCACTTGAGCATCACTTCTCCTGGGAAACACTCCAATCTCCTAAACTAGATCAGGTCCTCCTGCTAATGATTATAGTACCCTAAACCTCTCTTTCATAGCACCCATCACAGTTTGCAATTATTCACTTATTTGTATGAAAATGTGATTAATCCCTGCCTTTTCCTCTAGAATATAAGTCTATGAAAGCAAGGACCACACCAGTCTCATTCACGCAATGACTAGCACATAGTAAACACTCAGTAGTATTTGCCAGAAACCTTTTCAAAGGAAACCCACATATCCTGGGGACTGGTTTAATAATAGAAGATTTCCCTAACACCCTACCTTAGGCTCAGGCAAGGAAGAAGAGCTTCACAGGGATAGGAATTAGGAGAATCTGAACCTGAAGAGGGTCTCACCTTCTGCATCTTCAGCATGTCAATGCCAAAATGGGACAGGTGCTCAGCCAGGCTGGGGTCCAGGACCATGTCATCCTCATCATATGAGTACACGTCTAGAGCAGGAGGCAGGAACAGTGTCAGGGGAAGCCGCTCAGGACTAGGCTGGCCACCAGTCCCACTCGCTGTCCAGAGGGGCCTTGGTGGGATAGGACAGCCTATAAGGGTCACCCTCGTGCTTCCATTGAATATCAGTGAGGTCACAAGCCCTTCTGGGACTGGTGTTCAGGGGAGATGGGGTGAAACAGAGTGAGGGTTGGAATTCATTGTGCTTCTGAGTCCACCCTTGCAGGATAAGGTACTAGGATAAGGCAGGTTTCGTAGGTAAGGGACTATGATGGGGGACAGGGGAACATATTCATCAAAGATTTGGTCTCATCTGCAGTATTTTCATTTTTTATCGAGAGAATGCATTCATGTACTATTCATGTCATATAAAATTACTAACAAATGAAACACAGTTAAGTGTGAGGGTGGCTGGAGCAGGGGAGGGGGTACCAGCGCCATCAGGTGTGATGGTGCCCAGCTTCACAGCTAACGGGTAGCCTGTCTCCCTGTAGTGCTCCACAGCATGGTTGTTGCCCCCACTGCCATCGAAGTAGCGTCGGCCGCAGAGGATGGAGCCATCTGTTAGGTTGAGCCACAGGTTCTCTCTCATGTCACACTTGGAGCACTTCCAGCCACTAATCCAAGGAGAAGAAAATTAGCTGCAATGTTGGTTAGGAGTATGTGGGAGTGGTAGACAGAGGGGCTCTGCAGGCCCCTGCCAGCTCAAGGGTCTCTCTTCTCCTCTGGATGTCCCCACACTTTGTTCATCTCCCCCCAAGTCTTCCTCCCTGTCCTGCTTCCTACCCTCTCTCCCACTATCTCCCCCAAAAGGGTGTTCTCATTCCCCTTGCTCCGGGAGTTGCGCCCCAAGATGGAAGGGCCAGGCCTCACCAGGGAGGGATTCGAGCAGGGTTGTCCAGCTGCTTTAGGTTGAAGGCATGCTTAGACACCTGCCGCACCTCCCCATCCCAGGCCTGCACCTCCTGCTTGCGAGAAGCTGAGTCAGCCGATAGCAGGGCCTCCACCGCACTGGTCACCTAGGGGAAGCAGAGCGTAAGAGACAGTCCCTAGCCCCTCGTCCCACACCCCTTCAGTCTTCAGCTTTGTCAGTGCTTGCACAAGACATCATTCTCCCGACCCATCTTGCCCTAGAACCTCTGGTAGGGTGGGAAAGGATTCATACCCGATCTCTGACAATGTCAGGCAGACCCCCCAACCCATCTCGGGCAATCTCCAGGTAATCTGGCAAAATGATAATCTTCACATCCTCATCGTATTCAAACTTGTCTTCAGTGAGGTCAAACCCGCCTTCAACACCTGGAGGGATAGGGAAGAAGAGGGAGAGTAGGGCAACCACTATAGGTCAATGTCCCTCAGCAAACACAACACCTCATTTTGTCCTCTCCCGTTCTCTAGGGCCACCAAACAGGTGCATTCTTTGGGACTTTCCTAGTGCCTTTTTTTTTTTTTTTGAGACAGAGTCTCACTTTATTGCCCAGGCTAGAGTGACTGCCGTGGTATCAGCCTAGCTCACGGCAACCTCAAACTCCTGGGCTTAAGCAATCCTACTGCCTCAGCCTTCCAAGTAGCTGGGGCTATAGGCGTGTGCCACCATGCCTGGCTAATTTTTTGTATATATATTTTTAGTTGGTCAGTTAATTTTTTTCTATTTTTAGCAGAGATGGGGTCTTGCTCAGGCTGGTTTTCAAACTCCTGACCTCGAGCGATCCACCCGCTTCGGCCTCCCAGAGTGCTAGGATTACAGGCGTGAGCCACTGTGCCCACCCGGCCTAGTGCCTCTGAGTAAAGGACAGACCAGCTCAGGGAGGAGAACAGGACTGCAGTGGTGCTCACCAATAGCCAACCGGGTGGGCTTCTTCCGGGGCGGGTCTCCAGTGCCTGTAGTAGCGTCCTCCTCTTTCTGCAATGAAGCAGGAAGGGCTGGATCAGCAATGAGCACCAGGGAAGGGACAAATGGGGAGGATGGAGGGGAAGGAGTGGTTAATCTCAGAATAAAACAAAGCTAAAAAGTTTTAATGACACAAACAAAAGTAAGTGAAAGGGAGAAATTGAGGCTAATAGAAGGTCAAAATGGAACAGACAGATTCAAAATGGGTACCCTGTGGAATGTGTCTGAATGTACCCAGCCCTTGGTCCAGCCTCTGTCCCTACCGGGCGCCGGGTCCGCCGGAGGTGCAGGTACACTCGTTGGCCCGTCTTGTTGAAATGTCTCTCCACATACTGTTTGCCGAAGCCCAGGAATGTGTTCATGCAGATGTAGAGGCCACCCTCAGACTCCTGCAGGACAAGAGGCAACAGTGGAAACACAAGGAGGATGAAGCCTGGCCAGGTGAGGAAACCAAAGACCTAGAGTCTAGTTTCTAGAAGCAGGTTTCTGGTTCCGTAACACAGCATGGCCCTTGCCAACTCATTTACCCCTTTAGAACCTGAAACATGGCTAAGATTCTCCCTATTTCCTCCTATGACTTTGATAACCACTGAAAAGGACAACAGGATGCTGAGCAACACCAGTGCCTCACCATTCATCTTCCCTCTTGCTCCTTTGGGCTTTGGAGCCCTTTAATCAATCACAGAGAACTCCCTTTACAGCTTTCCTGGGCCTAAGATCTGAGATGCATAAAGTAAATAGGGATCAAATACTGTAGACTTCCAGCACCAAAGATTACATTCAGAGGGGAAAAGGGTCCTTTCCTGGGAGAGGGAAGATTTTCACGTTAGATACTAAACTCAAACCAGGGACCCCCAAGACAAACCCCATCTGATCTCCATGATTCAGAAAACCTTCCAGACTGGAAGAGCAGAGATTCCAGCACCTCAACAGTACATTTAATCCCTGAGTTTGCCAGAAAGCCTAGACCTTTCCTTTGTCACACTCTACTAGGTACTTGAACCCTGGTCCACACTGTGAGTCTTCTCCCTCCTCTCCTGATGAAGCCTGGCTCCAGGGGAACAAGGCCTTGTTTGGGACTCACAGTTAAACCCCGACCTAGTATGGCAGAGAGATGATGTGAAGTCCCGCATTCTCCCCTCCCCTCTGACCATTAAGTAAGACCTCCACTGACATGCCATCAACCTCCAACCTCAAAGTCATCCCCTTCTTAGAACAATCTAGCAACAATTGCTGAGATTGCTTAAAACACACAGCCTGAGAAGAAAAGAGGGAAAAACAAATGTCCATCCTGAATCACAGCTTAGGAGAGAGGATGGGCTTCCCCAAAGCTCAGCAAGTCTTCCAGTGCCTTTGTAAACAGAGGGATGAAGAAGGTGGAGGAGGAAATTGGAGACAATGAATCTTCCTTCAGATCCAAGGCTTTGAGCTACAGGCATCTTCTTCCTGGAATAAAAGCCTCAGTGGCCTTGAAAATTTCTCTGCTGTGATATTAAAAATAGGGCACTGTCTAATGTTGTTCTAGCTCCATAGACTGCTCTGTACCACTCCCTAGAACAATGAGAATTGCAATGTTAATGGACAAATAGAGCATTTCTCACCAGGAAGGTCAACTAGCTCTTTCTTCCCAGAATCCAATTTGAAGATAATCAAATATGCTGGAAGTTGGTTAGCAAAGCAACTAGGCCACGTTGGAGATCTCTTGACTTGAGATGAAAGAGGGAAAGTGGCAGAAGACTACAAAACCCCTTTTTGGATCATTCAAAGCAATTACTAAAGAGAAACACAGGAGTGAATATAAGTGTAAAGAGAGACCCACTGACTTCTACCATCTGCTGGTAATTAAGAAAAACCTTTCCCTCCTGGCAGGAACATGGGAGCTCTGAAGTGATTAAACTCCTCTGTTGGAAATAAAAGATGCTGGTTTCACCAAGAACTGGGGACCCTGGAGCTCTGCTTTGAACAGTCTTCTTTTACCTCTGCCAAAGCCAGACTTCAGAGAAGCAGCACATTGTCTGAGGCTCAGATCAAAGCCAGGCAAACCAAGCAAACCACAAATCACAGTGATGATCCTGAACCAGGCCTCGGATCATGCTGCTATAGTCAGCATTGGTGATGCATTAATGAAGTCTTTCCACTCTGACTTGCAGTTTTCAGGCCATGAGCTGGTCTGACTGAACACACTGGGCAGGGCCCAGCAGCTTGAGGGGAGGGGTGGTGAGGGGGGCGGATCCCAACCTAGCTGCAGTCTCAGTTCAGGCCCTGAAGGCCTGTCTCTGCTTGAGGGTGACTTAGGAAGGCAGAACAGTAGGAAGGGAGGTACCGGGTGGAGCTTGCAAAACGTGAAGCATGGTGTGGGTGGCGGCTTTGTGTAACTAGTCAAGAGTGAGAGCAGGATGAGAAAGGGGCCTTAGCATCTTCTGAGAAAGAAACCATCTCTAGGAATACTTTAAAAGGGCTTCTCTCCGCTGTCTGTGAAGGGCTGAGGCGAGCGGGGTGGCTAATAGTTCACTTCAAAGGAGAAACGACTAGCGCTTTCCTCTCCTCACCACCACCGAGGACCCACCTCCCCGCCCCCTGTCCATATTAACCATAGCCAAGGCTCTCTAACTTGGCCTTTCTCAGAACCGGACTTCTTCAGAGCCCACTTCCAGACTATTAGCCGCCTCGGAACTGGAGTCCCCACCCCGCAACCTCAACCCCGGCGGAGAACAGTGGGGAGTCACCCCCATCACTCCCACAAAAGACTACAAAACCCAGGGAGCCGTGCGCACGGACAAGGCTGACTCCCAGGCTTTCTCAGGGGTCCATTTGGGGGATGTAGTCCGACGGTCGGGCTGCGCCCCTCGCTTAGAACGGCCATGAAGGCAGTGAGCGACTACAATGCCCACAGTGCTCCGCGAGGCGGGGAGCGGGCCAGGCGAGCGCGGCGGCTTCCGGGGGCGGTAGTCACACGACAGCCGCAGCTGCTCAACAGCGGCGGCGGAGTGGAGCGTGGGAGACTACAAGTCCCAGGGTGCAGCGCAGGGGGGCGGCAGCCCAAGCCTTGCAGGCCCCGGCAGAATGACCAGGGCGATGGAAGGAAGTCGTGCTCGCTGCGGGCGTGGGGAATGGGCTTACCGGCGTGTCGAAGGAGAAGGCGCACTCGTCTTTGTGGACCCGGTCTCCGGCCTTAGGGACCCGGATCGTCGGTAACACTGACAGCAGCGCCTCCTCGCTCAGCTCCGCCATGACACCGGCAGCAGCTCCTCCACACAGCGGCTCCCACCGTTCCCAGCCTCACCCCCACTCTCCCGTCCAATGAGCGCTACTCGTTAGGGGCATGCGCCGAGGGACAGACGCGCGAGAATGGCAGTTGGCCGCGGCCGGCCTGCGAGTGCTCCGCCCTCTGCCGGCTCCTGACTAACGCCAATGAAAAGCGCTTCTAGTGCAATTGATGGTCGAAAGAGCCAATCCCACCCTTCCAGGGCAGGAGAGCACGGAGGGAAGCGAGGTGGGCTCCGGAGCGGCCGCTGCTCAGACTCTGGGACCCTTAAGGTCCCCTGGCGTGCCTTCTATTGAAGAGCCAAAACTGACTGTTGTTTAGATCTCTCAGTCACAGAAACTTTCCTGGGGACTTGTCTAATTGGAAAGTAGAGGGGTGGTTGTCTTCTTCGTGTTTGAAAACGGGGTACCCAGTGGGGTGGAGCTTGAGAGGGTGTGTGGAGTGATTGATAACTCTGTCAACCAATAAGGCTACTATCTCTGTCTCCTCAGGAAAACCACAGCTCCTGCTGGATTTGTGTGTAATAGCGTAATCACTCAACATTCCATTTTGCTTGATAAAATCATCCGGTTTTGAAACTGGAGGTCTCGAAAGCGAAGACTGGCACTCCTCAAAGTCTCAGGACGGACAGCTAGCAGGCCGATACTGAACAAAAGTCCCCAACTCGAGGAGGCGTCACCCTTGGCAAACCAAACCTCAGTCCATTGGCCCACAGGTCTCCGTGATAGACGTCTTCCCAGACCAATGACTTCCTGCGCTGGAGGCGGGTCTCACATAGCGGGCCTATGGGAGCCTACGTCAGCTTAGCCAATAGGGTCAGGGAAGGGGGCGTGGCGGGAAGTTTGAAACTAGTAGCTTCGGGAGTTGAACTTCGAGCTGCTGTGTCCCGAAGGTGGAATTGGGGCCTGGTAGGTGATTTGAATAAATTAATGAATAAGTTAGAGGGCCCAGCAGGCCCAGAATGAGCCGCTTGGTCAGCCGTACCAGTCATTAACCCCTCAGAGGCCTCTGGCCCAACGACCAGGAGGTTCCTCGGCTGGAAACTGGAAAGATCGGGTGGTCTGGGGTCGGAGGTCTGACATGGTCGCGGTAAGGGCTGAGGCTTGAGTCACTTTCGCAGGCATCCCCTCCTCGCTCCGGGCCGGGCCCTGCCCCCACCCTACAACTCCTGGTTGAGATGGGCTCAGCCAAGAGCGTCCCAGTCACTCCAGCGGGGCCTCCGCCGCACAACAAGCATCTGGCTCGAGTGGCAGACCCCCGTTCACCTAGCGCTGGCATCCTGCGTACTCCCATCCAGGTACTCTGGGCCAGGGTGGGGAAGGCAGAGAATCTGTCTGAAGTTTTGGGCTTCTGCCTAATCTGATTCTGACAAAGCCCTCACACCACCATCCCTACTCCCACCTTATTTTCTGCATTCTCAATCTGCCTGAGGTGGGCTGAATGTCTTGAGGGCCTTGGCAGTCCTCCCTGGAATATGAGGAGGAGAGAAGGGTCAGAGCCCAGACTTGTTCTAGCCTATGGTCCTGACAGGTGGAGAGCTCTCCACAGCCAAGTCTACCAGCAGGGGAACAGCTGGAGGGTCCCAAACTTGCCCAGGACTCAGATCCCCGCTCTCCTACCCTTGGCATTGCACGGACACCTATGAAGACCAGCAATGGAGGCAAGTGTTGGACCCAGGGAATGCTGATGAGGCTGTCATCTATTATTCTTGCATGGGGCCAAATGAAGCCTTTCTTTCAGAGTCCTTTTTTTTTTTCCTTTGAGACAGAGTCTCACTCTGTTGCCTGGGCTAGAGTGCCGTGGCGTCAGCCTAGCTCACAGCAACCTCAAACTCCTGGGCTCAGGTGATCCTCCTGCCTCAGCCTCCCAAGTAGCTGGGACTACAGGCATGCGCCACCATGCCCGGCTAATTTTTTCTATATATATTAGTTGGTCAATTAATTTCTTTCTATTTATAGTAGAGACGGGGTCTTGCTCTTGCTCAGGCTGGTTTCAAACTCCTGACCTCGAGCGATCCACCCACCTAGGCCTCCCAGAGTGCTAGGATTACAGGCGTGAGCCACCGTGCCGCCCGGCCTTGTGTTTTTTTTTTCTCTTTGCTGAATGACTTGTATCAGAAGGTCACTGTTCACTTCTTTCCACTAGACCCTCCAAGCCCACTGGTGAAACAACTGGGTGAAGTATTTGAGACTGAAGCCTCCGAATCAAATCTTCCCCCAGAGTCTGTTCTGCCCCTGGAGGTACCTTTATCTTCTGAATTGGACTTGCCTCTGGGTACCCAGTTATCCCTTGAGGATCAGATGCCAGTTTGGAACCAGATTAAGCTCCCTTCTAAACAGGTGTTTTCCAAGGAGGAAGCAAAGCAGCCCACAGAAACCCCTGTGGCCAGCCATAGCTCAGACAAGCCTTTAAGAGATCCTGAGACTCCCCGATCTTCAGGTACAGAATCTATGGGCAAGGTATAGGGAAGAGAACCTAGGATGTTCTGGGATAAAGTCCACGGGTGAGTGTGGGAGGCATAAACTGTAAACCCCTAGGGATCCTCGCTTTAACTCTTTACCCATCCTAGGTTCTAAGCGAAATAGACGGAAACCAAAGGGCAAGGTACTAGGGAGATCCCCCCTCACCATCCTGCAAGATGACAACTCCCCTGGAACCCTGACACCACGACAGGTAAAGGGAGAGAGAGTGAAAGCTATTACTTGGATATCCAATGTAGATGGTGGGAGACCCATTTACCCAGATCTTCCCCCTCCTAAACAACAACCCCCAAGTCACACACTGACTTTTGCAGGGTAAGCGACCTTCTCCGCTAAGTGAAAATGTTAGGGAACTAAAGGAAGGAGCCATTCTTGGGACTGGACGACTTCAGAAAACTGGAGGACGAGCATGGGATCAAGGCCAGGACCATGACAAGGAAAATCAGAACTTCCCTTTGGTAGAAAGCTAGGCCCTGGCACTGGATTCACCCAGGGCCTGGTGATATTCTATGTCCTCTCACCCTTTTTTTCCCAGGGAGACTGAGGAAAGGCTTGTTTTCTTTGACTTCTCCTAACCTACCAATTTGGAACTGAGAGATTTATCTGGATTTCTTTGTGTCTTTTGTGTTGCTTGTATATTAAAGGAAGTGGTTTTAAAAGATGTTTTTAAAAGGTATACTTAATCTTTGCACTGGCTCTTCTGTCTATGGAATGGCAGCCTGGAGAGCTTGTGTTCTCTGGCCTGAGTGTCCCCTCACCAATACTCTGAGCCTTTTTTGTGCACCTCCCTTAAGTCATGGTATCCCCAGGGCTCTGTCTTTGGCCCTTTCCTCCTGCTCTCCCTAGGCATTTACTTCTAGGGCTTTAGTGATTGCTTTCCTATATTCTGGTAACTTCCAGGTCTCTCTCTCTCTAATCCTGATCTTTTTTGTTTGTTTGTTTGTCTGTTTTGAGGCAGAGTCTCACTCTGTTGCCCCGGCTAGAGTGCCGTGGCATCAGCCTATCTCACAGCAACCTCAATCTCCTGGGCTCAAGCAATCCTTCTGCCTTAGCCTCCTGAGTAAGCTAGGACTACAGGCGTGTGCCACCATGCCCGGCTAATTTTTTTTCTATGTATTTTTACTTGGCCAATTAATTTCTTTCTATTTTTGGTAGAGATGGGGTCTTGCTCTTGCTCAGGCTGGTTTTGAACTCCTGACCTTGAGCGATCCACCTACCTCGGCCTCCCAGGGTGCTAGGATTACAGGCATGAGCCACCACGCCCGGCCTTCTAATCCTGATCTTTATCTAGCTGCCCCATAAGCAATTCAAAGTCAGTTTGTCTAAAATTGAATTTATGATCTTCCCCCAAAGTTATTCCTCATCTCTTGTGAATAACAGCATTATCTACCCTGCTGCCCAAACCTAAACCTTGGTCACTGAAGCCTGGTGATTCCATTCTTTAATCTCTAATTTTTTTTTTTTTTTTGAGACAGAGTCTCACTTTTGTTGCCTGGGCTAGAGTGCCGTGGCATCAGCTTAGCTCACAGCAACCTCAAACTCCTGGGCTCAAGCAATCCTCCTGCCTCAGCTTCCCAAGTAGCTGGGACTATAGGCATGCACCACCATGCCCGGCTAATTTTTTAATATATATATATTTAGTTGGCTAATTAATTTATTTCTATTTATAGTAGAGACAAGGTCTCGCTCTTGCTCAGGCTGGGTTTGAACTCCTGACCTTGAGCAATCCACCTGCCTTGGCCTCTCAGAGTGCTAGGATTATAGGTGTGAGCCACCGCGCCCGGCCTTTAATCTCTTCTTAATCCCTCTTCCTTACCTCTCTGTCCTATTGCTCTTGAGTTTCTTGCCACTTGCCTCTCACCTTTTTTCCCTAGTGCCAGTCTCTCCTGCCTCCATTTCATCAGCTGACACTGCTGCCAGGGTGATCTTTCTTAGAAGCATAACTGATCACATTACTACTCTGCTCAGAACTCCTCAATGGCTTCTCATTGTCCTTAGGATAAAGTCTAGAGACTCTCTAGCCTGGCATTCAAGGCCTTTTATAATCTGACTCCTCAATATGACCTTCCTGTACAAACTACACATAGGCACCCTAGGCAGGCTGCAGTGAACTGTTGCACATACAATCTGCCATGCACTTGGTGAATAGCTTCTCCTCCCAACCCATCTCAGGCCTCCCCCACGAGGCTTGGGCTTCTGCTTACACCCTTCTTTCTGCCCACAAGCTGTCCAGTACACAGTATTCATCATAACACCTGTAACTCTTTATTCTCCTTAAATGGGACCTGGTTTTTTTTTTGGGAGAGAGCAGGTGGAAGCCAAACATCACAGATGTACCAGGGTGCTATGCTTTATTGCAGATGCTTTAGGAGAGAAAAAAAGAAGGGGGCAAGGACCTTAGTGGTGCAAGTGCCATAGTCATGGGGCTGAGTGCCCTATACCACCCAGGTCTGGACAAAGATAGTGGCTCTGGGGGAGGGATCCTGAGGCCTGGAGCCTCCACCTCCACCCTGCTGGGCCTGGGAAGGGCTGGGTAGGGGTTGGTTGTCCTCATTAAGTGGAGTGCTGTGAGGACTGTGGGGAGGGGAGGCCATGGGAGGAGAAGGGGCAGTTCTTTGCCCCTGTGTCCCTGAGGCTGCCTCCCAAAGGCACACTCCCCGTCCTCCCTCTGCCCTCGGGAGAAAGCTCAGTGGGAATGGCACCTGGGATACAGAAGAGAGAACCTGAAGGAGATGGGGGAGCGAGGGGGCAGCTGAGTGTCTGCATGGCCTTCTGCTTCCCTTCCTCCAGGCTCATTAGTTCCAGATTTTGAGGAAGCTGTCCCACGAGCCAGTGGCCACTGCCATCCCATCAGCTGTGACCCCCAAGCAGCTGACCCTGTTGTCATGGCCAGAGAGGATGCCTGAGGAAGAGGAAAGGAGTCAGTCTGTCTCCCTGTGCTGATTTGGAAAGCTGCATGTGCACACGTACATGTGTCTGTGCATGTGCAGGCATCCTAGATTGGGACTGAATAGGCTGAGAGACAAAGAGGATTAGTCTTAAGGGCAGGGGTTTCTCTCGAGGCCAATTTGTCAAGAACTTGGCTTGGGGGAGGGGCAGGGCAGTCAGGGTAAGGTTGGAAGCATCTGTGTGCTATGGAAAAAGCTAGGGCACCTTGATGGGTACTGGAAAACAGGAAAAGCAACCTGCTCATCCTATTCCTTTGTTTCCAAATGAGGATACTAGGGCCCAGAGAGCAGTGACTCATGCAAGGGCATTCAGAAAGTGAGCAACAGAATTAGGAATTGGATCCTGACTCCCACCAGTGTTACTTTCCTTCATCACCAGGCCTCTCCCAAGAGAAGAAGCCATACTATCTCATCGACTTCTTGACCCCCTAGTCTAGGGTCAGGACCCCCAGGCCACTCCAGATTTCCTTGATTCTCCCTACTTCCCTTACATAGTGGCCTGAGGCTGTCCTTCCTTAAGTGGCTGCCCCTGAAATGTCAGGAATCCAGATCTGACTAGACATTCAAGGTCCACAAGTCTGGGGATGACCAGAGGAGCTCCTTGGGCAGGGAGCAGCCATGGCATTGGGCAGTGGAGAGGGGCTGCTTAGAGCAACTTTCCTTTGAGGGAAGATGGTTCTACTTTGGGAACCAAAGGGTCCTAGATTCCAGGGGTGGAGGGATGCCATGATGGGAACAGCAGCAAGGGGGTCCCAACCATGGGAGCTAGCAGGAGGGTATAGAGTGGGAGGGAGGGTGAGGAAAGGTCCTTCCAGCTGAGGAAGCAGTAGGCAGGGCTGGCCCTTACCCACGCGCTCGCCCTTCATGGAGTCCCAGACATTGCAGTTGAAGTCGTCATAGCCAGCGAAGAGCAGCCGGCCGCTGAGGGAGAAGGCCACGGACGTGATGCCGCAGATGATGCTCTCATGGGAGTAGGCGGTCAGTTCCTGATCTGCCCGCAGGTCAAACAAGCGGCAGGAGGCATCATCCGAGCCTGTGCAGATGGCCTCTCCATTGGGGAAGAACTGAGGGCACAGGTGGCAAGGGGGTCGGGACTCAGACCTGCACCAGCCCACAGGTCCCCACCCTCTCCCTGGCTGCCACCTGCCAGCTCCAGGGCAAGCTGCTTCTCAGCCTCTCTGCCTGCCCCTTCCCTGGCCTGGATGAGAAGCAGCACCTGGTGTGGCTAGTCACTGCTGCCATGCACCACGTGCCAGCGCATGCCTGCAGCTTCCTTACTCCTCTGCTCCACTACAGCGCTGCAGGCAGCCATCACCTCTATGTTGCATTGGAGAGCACCGAGCCTTGCTCAGGACCACCCAGCTAGAAGGGTGGAGGCCGTCCCAGACTCCTGTGACTACACAGGGCTGGATCAGGATGTGTAAGAACAGGGCCAGTTACAAATGCATGACTTAAATCTCATCATGAGGAAATGTCAGATAAGCTCAAAGGTAGGGAGAGTGTACAGAAAACTGGCTCATACTCTTCACAAATGTCAATGTCATGAAAGACAAAGGTAGAAAAACAGTTCCAGTTTAAAAGAGACTAAAAATATATGGCAAATAAATGCAATGCTCATTTCTGGACTGGCTCCTGAACAAAGAACAAAAACATTGCCATGGCTGGGCATAGCGGCTCACGCCTGTAATCCTAGCACTCTGGGAGGCCGAGGGGGGAGGATTGCTTGAGTTGGAGACCAGCCTGAGCAAGAGCAAGACCCCGTCTTACTATAAATAGAAAGAAATTAGCCAAACAGCTAAAAATAGAAAACATTAGCCGGCACAGTGGCGCATGCCTGTAGTTCCAACTACCCGGGAGGATGAGGCGGGAGGATCCCTTGAGCCCAGGAGTTTGAGGTTGCTGTGAACTAGGCTGACACCATGGCACTCTAGCCCGGGCAACAGAGTGAGACTCTGTCTCAAAAAAAAAAAAAAAAAGAAAGAGACATTTTTGTAGATAATTGGTAAGATTTGAATATAGACTATAGACTAGATTGTAGTACTGTGTCAATGTTACATTTCCTGATTTTGAGAATTATACTGTAGCTATGTGAGACAAGGGCTTTCTTTTCAGGAAGTATTTAAGGGGAGAGAAGCATGATGTCTGCAACCTACTCTCAAAAGACCCAGAAGAGAAATAACAAAATATCTATCTGCAGCTAAGTGTGTGTGTGTGTGTGTGTCTGTCAGTCACTCTATTTCTCTGCAGAGCAAATGATAAAGCAAATGTGTCAAATGTTAACAGTGAGTCTGGCTGAAGGATATACGGGCGTTCTTCCTGTTAGTCTTGAAACTTTTCTGTAATGTGAAATTATTTTCCAAGTGAAAGTTAAAAGCAGGAAGGGCTAGGGAAGCTGGGGGGAGCAGGGGCTGTGAGCTGTGTGTGCTGTCGGGGTGAGGGGTCCCGTGCTCACACAGATGGCGTTGATGTCCGACTCATGGCCAGTGAAAGTCTGACGGCAGGTCCCCTCGCGCACGTCCCAGAGCTTAGCGCTGGCATCACAGGCCCCCGAGATGAAAAGTTTGAAGTCGGGAGATACAGCCAGGCTCATGCAGTCCCCCGTGTGTCCCACAAACACAGTCTTCTGCTGCCCAGTCTCAATGTCCCACAAGGCACTGCCGGGAGGGAGGAAGGCCGTCACAGATGAAGGCCACTTGCCCAGGACAGGACTACCTCCGAGCCCCAGCACATGCAGCATTCAGCCCTCACCATGTGGTGTCCCCGGAGCTGGTCACTATATTGTTGTCATCCAGGAATCGACAGCAGGAGAGATAACCTAGAGGTGGTGAGAAGGGCAGTGCCCTGGCTGCAGAGCCACAGCCCACCAGGGCCTGGGGTTCCCTGGACCCTCAGGACAGGAAGAGAGGGTCTCCCACTCACCTGTGTGAGCAGAGAGCTCCCGGCTGACCTTGACATTACCCTCACGGGATTTGAGGCTATAGATGGAACACATGTTGTCCAGCCCCCCGCATGCCACAAAGTTCCCTGATGGGGCGTAGGCACAGGTCATGACCCAGGAGGAGCGCAGCGGGATGGCGTGCACCTGCAGGGATGGTGGTTTGGTCAGAGGCTCCCAGGTGGACAGGGGCAGAGGTGAACAGGCTTAGCGCTCCCAGGAAGGATGCGGTGGTGGAGGGTCGGGGAGGCAGGGCTGGTACCTTGTTGGTGGTGTAGGTGTCCCACACGATCAGCTTCCCGTCTTGCGAGGCACTTACCAGCAGCCTGGGGAGAGGGCACCCCGTGTCACATAAGCCTCTCTGCCTTGCCTCCCCATCCCCCCTGGGCCCTTCTCAAGCCTCACTTGGAGTCAGTGGACCAGTGCATGGCATAGATCTTGGCCAGGTGCCCCCTTAAGGTCCGCCGCGTCCGCATTTGGACTCGTCCCACCACCTCTAGGCCAGACACCAGCTGCAGAGAGAGGGGCATTAGATATTGGGGTGAAGCTGGGCGTGGTAGCTCACGCCTGTAATCTGGGAGGCCAAGGTGGGCGGATTGCTCAAGGTCAGAAGTTCAAAACCAGCCACAGCAAGAGCAAGACCCCGTCTCTACTATAAATAGAAATTAATTGGCCAACTAATATATATAGAAAATAATAGCCGGGCATGGTGGCACATGCCTGTAGTCCCAGCTACTCGGGAGGCTGAGGCAGAAGGATTGCTTGAGCCCAGGAGTTTGAGGTTGCTGTGAGCTAGGCTGACACCACGGCACTCACTCTAGCCTGGGCAACAAAGCAAGATTCTGTCTCAAAAAAAAAATGTAGATATTGGGGTGAGCAGGATACATCACCCAGAGTTCTGTCACAGCCACTGATCTACACAAGTTCCTGCTTTGTGCCAGGCTCTAGGTCAGGCCCTCCGGCCTTTGAGAAATAAGTCCCTACCTTTGACTGGCTTAGACCAATGCGGGAGGCAGATGCGTGCATGGCCAGCAGTGTGTTGCTAAGGTTTTAACAACTGCCTCTCCAGAGTGGATGGGACCTTGACCAATTTCAAGCTGCCAGTGTGAGCAGAGGTGCACACCGTTGGCTCTCCAAAGCTGGTGAGAGCTCACCCACCACGACAGCATAGCCGGCTCTTTAGCTGGGCACCAGGGCATCACCATGACTCTGAACTGCACCTCCTGCAATGTGTGGTCCTATGCCCCTTAAACTCTAACCAGACTTGGACTGGGGCTCCAGAGTCAACAGACTTAATTTGCTATTACTTACATTGTTATCTTGAGCAAGTTACTTAACCCCTCCGAGCCTATTTCCTCAAGGTGGAAAATGAGGCTTATCACAGCACCTACCTTACAGAGTTGTCATGAAAATTTAAATGAAATTAGGTAGATAAGCAACTTAGCCCAGTGTCTGGCTCATGGTAAGCATTTACTATTATTAAGATATTTAATCCAATCTAAGATGCCACCAACTCTAAGAAGCAGCATTATTGTATATATTACTAAGAAAGAAAAAAATGCTGCCAATTATAATTGTAAAGCATCATCCATTGTTGGATGCATCCTGATTTCAGAGATGTCAAAATGTGAAGAAGTGTGCATCCTAGAGTTGATGAAATGCAATATAGACTACTAGCAACTGGAGTCTACAAGGGCTTTATGCTTACAAAGTACTGCCCCCTCTTCATCCTCACAGCCCTGTGAGGGGGCGTAATCACTCCTGTTTTGTGGACAAGAATAGGAACAGTGTCCACATCTTTAGCCTCCAATAGTGTCTGCCCAGGGAAGGTCTCACTAAATGTTTGCCGATGAATTAATTATGCCTCTCCTGGCTCCGAGGACACGCTGTACTGAAGCTCAGGGAGCTCCCATCTCCTCCCCTCCAGCCCTGCCCTCGGGACGACAGGAGGTCTCACCTCTGCCAGAGTGATGTCGGCACAGGCTTTCCTGGCATCCTGCGGGGAAAGCAGACATCAGGGAGGGAAGGACATGGCGGGGCTGGCAGGTCATGGGCCTGTGAGGTGGGTGGTGTGGAGCTCTGGGGTTTAGGGGGCCTCGAATATGACAGCCAAGTTTAGAAAGTCTTTAGTCACTTCTCGGTCAGAGGTCTCTAAGGTGTCACTCAAGAGTGGACCCAGCCCCCTCCCCTCAGGCCACACTGCCTCACGTCCCCAGTTCTGTTTGCTGAGGTTCCCAGAGGGAGGGTTCCGGGGTTACAGCAATCTGCTTCTTGAGCTGCTCCGCTTCCTGCCGCAGCTGCTCCATCTCCCCCATGGCTGACAGTCGAGGGGTAGCTCCGGCTCCTGCCAGGAACATGGGGTAGGTGTTGGGCAATGCTCACCGGGCCATGCTGCTGTCCTTCACACTCACACCAGACTCCTAAGGGCCAGAGCCCACTCTAAGAAATAGGGAAACGGCTGGGGGCCTGCACCACCCCCCAGCTAGGCCCTCCAAGCCTGCAGTCCTGTGCATCCAGCCCCAGCCCTGCCTGAGCCCTCCCTGCAGCCCCAGCCCCGGAGAACAGAGCCCAGGCCAGCTCCCTCTTACTTGGGCTCTGGCTGGACCTCTCCCAGGTTTCCGGCTCTGGTTCCCGGGTGCCTCCTCACTCCCTCGGCTGCAACGCCTGCCCGTCACCTGCCCAGGCTCTACTGCCAGAGGAGCTGGCCTGGCCTGGCCCCGACTGGCGGGGGGGTGGGGGGCCTGACAGGGAAGGGTAAGTCCAACCACCACGTCAGGCAAATTAAATCAGCTGGCAGGGGTGGGGGGAGAGGACAAGGAGGGAGGGAGGTGTGTGGCTTCCAAAGAGACTTGGGCCCAGCCTGGAGGAGGTGTGGGAGCAGGAGTGTGGGGCCTAGAGGGGAGCAGCCCCCCACCACAAGCCCCAAGAAAGGAGGGGCTGAAGGGGTGCTTCCCTGGTCAGTCTCCCCACAGGCAGAGATAAGAGCATCAGGCCCCATGGGATTAGAGCAAAGCTGTGAGGATTAGGGGTTGGGGTTTGGGAGGGGTGCAAAGGAGCAGTAGCAACCTCAGCTCCAGTGGCCCCCCAGCCCTGGCCCCCACCAGTGGTGACGATCTTGGCAGTCAGGGTCCACTTAGCAACAATCCAGGAGCCAGGACACAAGGGTGATAGATGCCCCATCGTCAATGCCTCAAATTGTGTCCCTAGCTCAGGGAGGTTGGGGGAGAGGGTTACAGTGAATGGGAGGGTACAGGCAGGAGCTGAGATTAGAAGGGACTGATCTGGATAATCCTTCTTCTTGACAAACCCCAACCAGCTGCCCCTGGGTCTGATCCTGGGTGGGGGAGAGAGGCACGGGGGATCACCAGGAAGGATGCGCAGGCCTGCCCCTGCTTCGGGCAGAGGATTGAAAGTGAAGGGCAACCCTGCTGCCTGCTCCCAGTCCTGGGTCTGGCCTGGCTCACGGCACCCTGCTGGGGCTGTGGGAGCAGGAGCCAGAGGGGTCAGGCTGCCCTAAGTCTCAGCCAGGCTCAGAGCTTAGAGTTGGAGGCCCAAGGTGCAGCTGTCAGGGGCTTGGGTCTATTTGCATGAGGAGAGCAGGTGGCTGAGATTTCCCTGACAAATCACAGGCTCCAGTGGCACCCCTATGGGAGGCCCAAAGACACCTGTCTCCTCCCAGGCCAGCCACAGCCACAGCCACCCCCACCTCCAGCCACCGCTGGCAGAAACTCTGATACACCCACCTGGCCCCTGGCTGAAGGATCTCCATGATCTTTATTGCACAGGCTGGGGATAGGGGGGAGTAGGGTTATCCTTCCCCCTTATCTTCCTCATTTAAAGCATTAGCCCCCACCCCCACCATTTCTTTTCAGGGAGGCCCAGCGTCCTCTGTCTGTCCTAGGGCTGCATGCAGGTCCATCAGCTGGAGCCAGGCCTGGGGAGCTCCAGGCTAACCTATGCGGTGTCCTCTGAGTCCAGGGCTGGACAGCCCTTGTGGATGCCCAAGACGGTGGGGTACAGGGACACAGAGCTTGCAGTTCTGCTCCTGATGTCTCGTGGGCGCTTCTTGAGGGTCCTGGCCTTGAGATGGCCCTTTCGCAAGTCAAGTGGCCACATCCCCAAGGAGCTGGTTCAGCCACTCACAGCTCCTCCCGGACCCGAGCTGGCTTTCCAGCCTTGTCTGGGACTCGATGAAGCCCGTGGCTGGGGGGTTCTGGGGAACGATCTCTGCTGGGCACATCTTCATCTTCCTCCTCCTCTGACTCCTCCTCCTGCTCCGACTCCTGCAGCAGCTCTTTGGCTTCTATCCACTCCTGGGGGTGGGGGGAGGGCAGAGTCTGGCCTCGTCCCCTGCATCTACCTTCTCTGGGCCATCTCAGCCTCACCCCTCACCTCTCAGGGTGTCCCTCACCCCTGAGAGCGTCCTCCACGGCTGCCTGCCCACCCTTCGCACACCAGGAGAGCACATCCCTTCCTCTCCTGCTCCCCCTTACCTGCTCCCTGTGCTCAGGTGCCCACGTGTGCCACAGTGCCAGGGCGCAGCGCCGTCCCCGCGTCACGGCCCACACGCCATGGGGATTCTCCCCACCAGAGCTGAAGGCCACGAGGCGCCCACAGCGAGGACGAACCTGGGCCTGGGGGTGAGGGCAGGTTCAGCCGTAGGGACCGGGCTGCTCAGAGAACTTGGCCCTCACTCCTAAGGGCAGAATGGGGGCAGGGGCCTCACAGAGGATCAGCTCCTTAATCCAGGGGCTAGCTTGGGGCAAATGGGAAATTGGCCTCAACTTGGAAAACAAATGCCAGACAGAAGTTAGAAGACTCGGAAGCCAAAGCGAGAAGGGGCCTCCTCCCAGGGTCTCCTGCCCGTTCCCTCCCTGTGGTGCCCTGAGTTTTCCTGCCCAGCCTTTGAACCCAGGGTGTGAAGCAATCTAGGGGCATGAGTGCAGTGCCATACTCTGGGGGGAGGGGAATAAGGATCTTGTAGGCATTTTCCCATCCCAGTGAAGGCCTGGATTCTCAGTGGAAAGTAGGGAAGAAGGTGACTTGTGTCAGAATGAAAAATCACTGTTCTCCTCCCACTCAACTCTTGCCCCTGGTGGCTACCTAGAAATTTCCATGACCCAGGAATGGGGGGATAATACCACCTAACATTGATTAATTGTTTGTTATTACCAGGCACTGCCTCATTCTTTTAGGCACACTATCTAAATTACTTTTTTTTTTGAGACAGAATCTCACTCTGTTGCCCAGGCTAAAGTGCTGTCGCATCAGCCTAGCTCACAGCTCAAACTCCTGGACTCAAGCAATCCTCCTGCCTCAGCCTCCCGAGTAGCTAGGACTGTAGGCATGTGCCACCATGTCTGGCTAATTTTTTCTATATATATATACACACACATATATACATATATATGTATATATATATTTTAGTTGTCCAGCTAATTTCCAATTTTTTTCTTTCCTTTTTTTAGCAGAGATGGGGTCTTGCTCTTGCTCAGGGTGGTCTCAAACTCCTGAGCTCAAACGGTTCGCCCACCTCGGCCTCCCAGAGTGCTAGGATTACAGGCATGAGCCACCACGCCCATCCTATCTAAATTACTTCTTATAGTAATGCCCTAAAATAGGTACTGTTATCATCACCCTCATGTAGGAAGCTGAACTGCAGAAAGGTTAAGAACCCAGATCTAAACTCAAGTCCCGGTGGCCCAGCATCTGTGCTGCTAGCCACTGTGCTCATCTTGCTGTGTGGAGGAAGGACTATTTCAAGTTCCCCAAAGCCCTAGGAGAGGGGCCTGGGGTCCTGGAGGGTCCTTCAGGCTGTGCGGCACCGCCCCCCTCCATGAGGAGGGGAGGCCTGCAGTGAAGGCAGGTCTGGAAGGGCCGCTGAGAGATCTACCTGCTGGGGAGGCTAAATCGGTCTCTGCTATCAGGACTTTCATGTCCTGGGGCCACGAATAAGTGGCATAAGTGGCCAGGAGGGCAGGGGAGGCAGGGCAGGGAAAGGGTTAAGGTGGCCCCAGCCATTTCCCTGCATTTGCCTCTGGGAACCTTCTGTTTTGAATCCTGACCCCACAGCTGGGCCCTGTGTTACACCCCCACAACCCGCACCCCACGTACCGTGACAGTGAGAGCATTGGGCTCTGTGAAGAACAGGTCCCCGCCCTGGAAGTCATCATTGAGGTAGAGGAGTCCACTGAGGAGGGAGGAAGAGAGGAGGCAGTGAGACCCCAACCTCAGCCAAGCCATGCTGTAGGACGACTGTCTGCCCACCTGCCTGACCCCTGGAGGGCCACCCACCTGTAGTCTCGATAGGTGTAGGCGGGGGGCTCCCGCCAGCATTCTCCGGTGTCAGGGTCCAGGACACAGTTGTCTGCGTGTACCGGGTGACTCAGGTCCATGCGCTGCTCTTGCTCCCCTAGGACACAAAAGGGTCCAGTGAATGCCTCTGTGTCCCCGTGCCCGTCTGCCACCGTGTGGGCTCACACCTGCCACATCCACCCAGCAGCTCCTGGGGTCACAGCCGGGCAGAGAAGCAGGCCCCGACTGGGCAGGGGAATGGGGTCTTTGAGGAGTTAAGACTGAAGCCCACACGGTCTGTGGGTGCTGAGGGTGCGCAGTGCCCGGCAGGGGCCCGAGGGTGGGAGGAGCAGCGGGGGCCCTGGCCTTTACCTTCTATGGCACTACGGCACACCAGGTGGGTGAAGGAAAGATGCAGGGGCCGCTCCGGGGAGAAGTAGGCCTGTGTCAGGGTCCGCACACGCTCGCTCACCTCCAGCAGCAGCTTAGCGCCCTGGCTGCCCACCGTCCCAGCCCGGGCCAGCTACGGCAGCGGAAGGAAGGGCAGGAAAGGAGGAAGGCAGTGCAGGGTGGCCCCAGCCCTAACCCTGCCCCTCTGCCGCTCTCCACCCGTGGGTTTGGAGTCTCTCTGCCACCAGTTCTGTCCATCTGCCCAGCTGCTCTTGCCGTGGCTCCATGGAACCGATCCAGGCCCGGTCTCGGAACACCCTTTCTCAACCCTGGGCCCAGGCCTAGGCAGTCTCGGGCCCAGGAGAGCCCCTCCCCGGACACGGCCCCTTCTCCAGTTCTGGGCCCCGGTGCCTGCGCTCACCTGCGCGGCCTTGAGCACCGTGAGCCCCTCGAAGCGTTCATGGGGGGTGTGAGGGGAGCGGCGACCACGATAGCCAGACCTGGCTCCAGCCCCAGCTGCGTCCTGCACAGGGAGGGCATTTGTGGAGTCACTCTCCCCAGCCACCTCACCGCCCACAGGGCTACTGGACCCTCCTCCGCCCTCCAACTCCCTGGAAGAGGCTGGGAGCTCTCACGTGCTCTTGTGCCTCCTTTCCCTGAGCTGGGCCCTTTCCCAGAGGACTCTCCCTCTGCTGTCTGGGATCCCCTGAGCAAGGGGGCTGTGGGCGGCCCTGCAGAGAGCTTCCTACAGTAGGGGGGGCTCTGAGGGTCAGAACCTCTGGGGAAGTGGGGCAGAGCTGGGGACTAGGCAGGAAAGGTTTGATCATTAACCCCTGATGAGCCAAGAACAGAGGTAGCCCTCTGGAAGCAAGACCCTAACAGGAAGTGCAACAGTCAGGCCAGGTCCTGGCAGGGAGCTGAGTCCAGGGGACAGGCAGCATTGGCTGGGGTACCCTCTCTGACCTCTTCCCATCTGACATTCTCTCGGAGAACCTACGGATTGCATGGCTACACTGCCCCTGGAGGCTGAGTCCCAGTTACTCCTTTATCCCATGACTCCTATCACCTGGGGTCTCCCGATATCTGGATGTCTACACTGGGATCATTCCTTTTCTGACACCCATTTTTCTACTTTTTAAATCTCAGTTTAAGTACCACTATCTAGTTACCCCTGAATACAAACCTCACCTCTGTGGGACCATCTAGTCACCCAAGCCATCTAACCTTTTATTCTTATATTCATTCATTCGAGAAATTTGTAATGAGTACCTACTACCTGCCAGGCACTGTTCTAGGCATTGGGGACACAACTGTGAACAAGAAAATGTCCCATTGTCTGCCCATGGTTTATACATTTAAAAAAAAATTCTCTGCTCTCAGGCTCATAGGATTAATCTTTTCTTTGTCTCTTCTTTTCTTTTAATTGATTGGTTAATTAATTTAGAGACAGGGTCTTGCTCTGTCACACAGGTTGGAATGCAGTGGTATGATCGTAGCTCCCCGCAGCCTCGAACTCCTGGGCTCAAGCGATCCTCCTGCCTCAGCCTCCTGAGTATCTGGGACTACAGAAGCGTGCCACCACGCCTGGCTAATTTTTTAAAAATTTTTCTGTAGAGACAGTGTCTCCCTATGTTGTCCAAGCTGGTCCTAAACTCCTGGCCTCAAGTGGTCCTCCTGCTTTAGCCTCCCAAAGTACTGGGATTATGGGTGTGAGCTACTACGCGGGCCTCTCATAGGATATACATTTTGACATAACAAATAAATAAATAGATAAACCAGATCAATACAGAAAATGATAAGAGCTGTGAAGATAAGAACTATGAAGAAAATTAAAACAGGGTTACAACCTTGAGAGTGCCCAGGCAGGGGTCAGGGACAGTTAACTGAAGAGGTGACATCTAAATTGATGCAAAGAAGCCACTTGAATATCTGAGAGGGAAATGTTCCAGGCAGAGGAAACAGCAAGTGCAAAGGTCCTGAGGCCAGAACAAGCTTAGTGATCAAGAAAGAGAAACAAGGCCCGATACTTAGGAGTTATCCTTGAATCCGTCTTCTCATCGTCTCTCACAAAGATTTAATTCTTTTTTTTTTTTTGAGACAGAGTCTCCTTTGTTGCCCAGGCTAGAGTGAGTGCCGTGGCGTCAGCCTAGCTCACAGCAACCTCAAACTCCTGGGCTCAAGTGATCCTCCTGCTTCAGCCTCCCGAGTAGCTGGGACTACAGGCATGTGCCACCATGCCCGGCTGATTTTTTCTATATATATTAGTTGGCCAATTAATTTCTTTCTATTTATAATAGAGACGGGGTCTTGCTCTTGTTCAGGCTGGTTTTGAACTCCTGACCTCGAGCAATCCGCCTGCCTCAGCCTCCCAGAGTGCTAGGATTACAGGCGTGAGCCACCGCCCGGCCCAAAGATTTAATTATTAACTTCTCTATTTTTGGTTTTCTAAGTGTTTCTTATCTGTTCCCTTCTCTTCATTCCCTTGAAGTGAGGACCTAACCTAAGGCAGTGACACTTTGTAATCATTTCAGAAGTTCACCCGTTTTTTTCCCACTGCATTCTACACACTGCCACTAGAGGGACCTAGCGGTTCTACAGGATGGCGACTCTAGATCCTGAGCTAGAGGTTCTGCAGCAAGGAGAATGTATGCACACGCCTCCTAAATCCTTCAGTAGCTGTCTACCACTTACAAATAAAGTCCAGACCCCTTGGGAGGGTACAGAGGCCCTCACTGTCACTGGGCCTTCACCTCTGGACTCCCTCCCTCTTCTCCACACCTCCTTTTTTTTTTGAGACAGAGTGCTCCATCCACTCTGTGGCAGGGCTAGAGAACTGTCAGCTTAGCTCACTGCAACCTCAAACTCCTGGGCTCAAGTGACCCTCCTGGGACTACTGGTGCGTGCCACCACACCAGGCTAATTTTCCTCTTGTTAGTAGAGACGAGGTCTCACTCTGGCTCACTGACCTCTTGATAACATACCACCAGCTGATAACAGTGACAGCCAACGTGGCACCTTCTGTGTTCTCCTAAGAGCCTTACCATGCACTAACTCATTTAATCCTCACAACAGCCCTACCACAAAACACTATTATTAGCCCGCTGTGTAGATGAGGAGACTAGGTTCAGAGATGTTAGAATAAAGTGCCCATAGCCACATCTAGTTGCAAAAAAAAAAAGAAAGAAAGAAAAAAAAAGAATAAAGTACCCAGGGCCACGCAGGTGATGCTTGTTGGAGCTGTCCCCTACTCTTACCTCTGTGCTCTACTGCAGTCCCCACAGTACTCGTCTCCCTCTTAGACTGACATCCCACCTTCTCTGTCTGCTTAACTCATCCTTAAGACTCAGCTCAAATGCCACCCCCTCTGGTAAGCCTTCTGTAACTCTGCATGTCGGTGCTTCTGTTTGGATGAGTCATACTACTTTCATCAAACTTACCACCTGCTCACATTATGTGTCTCCATGTCTGTTTCCTTCTCTGTACATGAGCTCCCAAAGGGCAGAGTCTGTGTTCATCTCCCTCTCCCTGGAACCTAGCAGCTTCTAGTCCGTGACGGCTACTCAGTGAGTGTGTGTTGAACGAGCACTAGCCTGGAACGAGGATTGCGCTGGATAAAATGGCAGACTCCGCCCGGGGAAGGGGAAGGCATGCAATGGACAGCAAAGGAAGCCTGTGTGTCTGCTGAGCCGCTGGCCGGGCCGGTACCTAAACTCTCAGCTAACCAAGCAGTCCTTACCTGCACACACATCCACTTTCATGCCTGCGTGTTTCTTTTTTTTGTTCTTCCTATCTATTTCTAGCAAAATTCCTTTGTAAAGAACATCGGCTTCGTGTCAGCTAAATTAAGAGGAAAGAGACTTGTCAACCGCTGAGAGGCAGTGGTAAGCACAGTCCCCACTGGAGAATCAGGACAGGCAGAACAGCGGAGCGGGAGGCCAAGAACAAGGAACAGGCAGCTGGGCCTGAAGGTCCCGAACTAGCTGCTGTACTCGAAGGTCTTCCCACCTTGGCCAGCTGCAGCAGCACCCCACACTCGGCTGGGGTGAGCAGCCCGTCCAACACGGCCCGCTCCGACCCATTCAGCTGCCTGGCATCCTGGGTCAGGGTCACTCCCTCCAGGAGGAGGACATCTGTCGGGGAAGGGACAGGGCAGAGGTGGCTGAGGCTCCCTGAAGGCAGGCCCAGCAATCACTGGCAGCCCCCAGACCCTCCAGGCACCAGCCTCCTCCTTCCCAGGAACTTGCCTTTCCAGTAGGTCACAGGCCTCGGCTGCGGAGGCTCCCGGTCCCAAGGCCTCTTCTCCTGATCCTCCCTCAGGGGTGGGAGATATGCTCAGTGGATGCACAGGACAGTGCAGACCCAGCCTCCCAGCCCAGGCCACGCCCCTCCCACCACAGGGCCTCTCCTACCTGAGCTTTTCTCTTAGTGCCTCCGGGATGAGAGCTGCAGGGGTCCAGGGATCCTGTGACAGTCAAGAAAAGCGCCATCACCCACCAAGTCCAGTCCCTAGAATCCCTGACATTGAACTACCACGTTAAGGTCCTCCCGTTTCCAGAGGGGAGGGTGGAGGTAGGACAAGCCCTGGACTCAGTGTCAGGAGTCCTGGGCACGGGGCCAAAGTCTGTAACAGCAACAACAATGACAACGACAACTTACACAGACTTCCTATTTGCCAAGTGCTACTCTGAGAGCTTTCTTTATACATGGAAGTGGCATTTCTCATTTGAAGTTCACAATAGTCTTATGAAACTGATAACATTGTGTTCACTTTGTAATTGAAAGCCTGGAGATGCAGACAGGTAAGGTGACAAGCTCAAAAGCACATGGCCAATAAGTGACAGAGCTGAGTTTTAATTTTTTTTTTTTTTTTTTTTGAGACACAGTCTCTCTCTGTTGCCCAGGCTAGAGTGCCATGGCATCAGCCTAGCTCACAGCAACCTCAAACTCCTGAGCTCAAACAATCCTACTGCCTCAGCCTCCCTAGTAGCTGGGACTACAATACCACCATGCCCAGCTAATTTTTTCTATATACTTTTAGTTGGCCAAGTAATTTCTTTCTATTTTTAGTAGAGATGGGATCTCACTCTTGCTCAGGCTGGTCTTGAACTCCTAAGCTCAAACGATCTTCCCGCTTCAGCCTCCCAGAGTGCTAGGATTACAGGCGTGAGCCACCATGCCCAGCCGAGTTTTAATCTTTTAATAACTTCATGGCCAGGCGCCCTGGCTCACGCCTGTAATCCTAGCACTCTGGGAGGCTGAGGTGGGAGGATTGAGCTCAGGAGCTCGAGATCAGCCTGAGCAAGAGTGAGACCCTGTCTCTACTAAAAATAGAAAGAAATTAGCTGTACAACTAAAAATATACAGAAAAAAATAGCTGGGCATGGTGGCGCATGTCTGTAGTCCCAGGTACTCGGGAGGCTGAGGCAGGAGGATTGCTTAAGCCCAGGAGTTTGAGGTTGCTGTGAGCTAGGCTGACGCCATGGCACTCTAGCCTGGCCAACAGAGTGAGACTCTGTCTCCAAATAAATAAATAAATGAATAACTTCACAGTTCTTGCTTTTAACCAGTGGTTCTCAACCAGGGTGATTTGGCCCCCCAGGGGACATTAGGCAATGTCTGGAAACATCATTGATCGTCATGACTGAGAGTGTCAGTGTGCCATTGACTTCTACTGGGCAGAGACCAGGGAAGCTTTGGAACATCCTACAATGCATAGGACAGCCCCTCTCCTTCCCCATAATAAGGAATTATCGGGTCCAAAACATCACTAGTGCCAAGAAGGCGGAGAAACCCTTCCTTATGCTATTGTGGTGGCTATGGGTGACCTCTGCCCTTCAGCTTCCTCTCTTGACTACAAGAAGAAGAGTAATAGAAGCAGTAGTCACAGAGCTTTCTGTACTTTATACCAAATGATATGCTTTCAACAGCCCTGTGAACTAGGTGTGATTATTCCAATTCACAGGCAAGGAAACTGAGGCTGAGGCAAGTTGAGATCCAGTACTTGTTTGGGGCAGAGGAGGGGCTGACACTCAGGCCTGCATGATCCCAAAGCTGCCCTCAGCGACAGGCACACTGCCTCCGTCCCTGTAAACCTGGGGGCAAGACTCAAGAATCACAGGTTGTAGAAAAATGGGAAACTGTTACGAACCGAAGTGACATATAAATGTGGGACATTGCTGTCACCTCCCTCCTGGGAGTGCTGAGGGTGGAATGGGGGAAGAGCGGAGGGACTCACTGGATCCGTGAAACTGGTCCCCAGGTACTCCATGGCATAGTAGAGCTGTCTCTTCTCCCCCAGGGACCGGAGGATGAAGCGCTGGATGTCCTGGGGGCGAGACAAGGTGCAGAGAGCTGAGGCTGGAGGAGCACAGGGCGGCCGGGCTCCGGGCACTGCCTGTGTGCTCCTTAAACCCGCGCTGCGCCTCCCGGTCGCTGGTTCAAATTTCCTCTCTTAGCAGCTTCAGAGCATGTGGACTCACAGCAGGGGAGTGAGGGCGTGATAAAGACTGTGTGCACGTGTGTGTGAGCGCGTGTGCACGTGCGCGCGTGTGTATGTGGGGGGTGTCAGCACACAAGCGTAAGGCGGGGGCAGGCAGGAGTGAGGTAAAGGGCAGAGATGGGGCTGGGGCTGGACTCACACGTACAGTTTGATGTGGGGACCAGAGATTGAGGCAGAAGTCAGAGGCTGGACTTGGGATTCCCTTTGGTGACTGGGGTGCTTGGGTAAGAGGCGGGAATGGGAGGACGGACGGGGTCCTGATTGTTTCTCAGGTATGTGTGTTTGATTTGTGGCTACCTTGCGGGGAAAGGGTGGGGAGGGGAGTCACCTCTCTGGGCGCGAGGCCGGGTCTCGGCTCTCCCAGCTGGGCCTGGTACTGGTTCAGGGCGCTCTTGGCGGCCTCATCTTCCGGATAGAAGAGCAGGACACTCAGGACATTTTCCACAGCCTGGGATAGGTTGCCCACTGGACAGGGAGTAACAGAGTGGGAGAGTGGGGTGGGGGGCAGAGACTGAAAGCACAACAGCCTTTGTTTGGGCAGAGGCAGTGCTGGAGAAGTGGTCTCCCGGGCCGGCCAGCCAACTCCAGGAGCCCCATCCCACTGGCAGACACACTCAGCTGTCGCTGCTTTCAAAAGCTGAGGCAAACATACCTTAGCTGAAGAGTTGGAAGAAGAGGAGGAGGGGAGAAAATACAGGAAGGTGAGAAACAGCGAGGCAGAGCAACCCTGGGACCCAGCTCCTGAGCTTTCACAGGTGCCAAACAGAGCCAACTAGAGTCCTCCTGAAGTGATGGTCCCCATGGAACCCTGACAGTGACACTACAGATCCAGAGACAGATGAGAAGGACAGAGAGATGGGGCTCAGGATGCCATCAGAGACAAGTCTCCCTGTTTCCAACCCCAAGCACTCTCAGGGCCCACCTGCCCCAACTGACCCTGAGCATGGGCCTCGTGCAGCCGCCTCAGCTGGCCAGGAAAGAAATCGGGGACAGGGAAGCTGCGACCAGGACGTGTGGCTGTTTCCCCCACGCAGCGCTGCCGGCACTGCAGAACCCGAATCCAGTGTCCTATGGAGGACACACACAGCCGTTCAGCTTGCGCATGGTTCCCTAACCCCCACCTCCACGCCAGTTCCCCCCCACTCCCAGCCCCTTACCTGCAATGGCCTCATAGAGGCCCCCCTGGCTGCCGGCCCCTTCCTCTTCCTCCTCTTCCCGCCCCTGCTGCTCCTCAGGCCCCTCACAGGCTGCCCGGCAGCTCTCCATCTGCGCCAGGCTCTCCTGCAGGGCCTCCTCTAGCCTAGGCAGTGCCAGTCCTGCTTCCTGGTGGCCCAGTAGCTCTAGGCCAGTGTCATAGGCTACCTGTTAGGGAGAGGAGCAGTCAATTACCTGAGATCTGGGGTGGGGGTTGCCAAATAAGATTGGGAGGTAGGATGAAGGAGTGTTGTTCTCATTTGGGGCATAGAACCCACTTCAGCTTGGGGAAGAACAGGGGTGGGCCTCAGGATCCGAACGTTGGAACATCAGACATTAGTGATCTTCTAGGAAGGAAACTAAGTCCCAGAGATGGACTCTCCACCCAGGGTCACTGGGGATCAGTATACCCAGATCTTCAGATGCCCTAGACATACAGGGCCACAGTCCAGGGAGGGCTGTGTATCTATTCAGCCGGCCAAAGACTGGGGCCAAGACAGGGGTGGTGCTGAGGGTCTCACCCAGTGTGGGGGTGTCTCCAGGTCCCGGAAACTCTGGGGCCGAACCCGAGACATGCGTCTGTACTTTGCCATGTCCTCCCGCATCTGCAGGTGTGTTGGGTTTGCTACAAAGAAGGTGTGCGCTGCGGCTGCTGCCAGGTCCAGCTTCTTCAGCTGACGAGACAAAGGGGTGACCACAGCCCTGAGGTGGGGGTGTCAGACTTCTGCCACCTCACCGGCCTCTCCACTCCAGACACACTCTGGGAGAGCACAAGAGCCTTCTGGAAGACTGGTTAATCAGAACTGCCCACCTCCCAACCTGCAGAAACCGGACGATGGGTTTCTCAGGAGTCTGGCACGAAGGGAAAGGGGTCTGAAGACTTCCGAGGGGTTGGGACATGGGCCTCACGGCCTCAGTTTGGGAGACCAGGTGGAAGTGATGGCTAAGTGAGGAGGGGAAGAGGGGGAGACCTGAGCGACCAGCGAAACCCGCAGGTCTCTAGGACCCTGAGCTGAGGTGTGTGTATCTGAAACCCCCGCCCCCAGCTACGTTGGCAATTGCCAGGGTGGCAGTAGCAGCTGCTGTCCACTGGCGCCTGGGGGCCCTCAGCCTTGCCTCCGTCTGCTCTTTCCTTTCTGAAGCTCCCTCCTGCCCCATGCGAAGGACGCGCTCCCCGTCCCCACCATCCATTTCTTTCCCAGGAAGAGGAGTGCTCACGACCACGTAGGTCTCAGTAAAATCCCTTCCCTCCATCTTCGGTCTACTCCCGCCCCGCCCATTGCAACTTCGCTCCCACCCTCCCTCGGCCGTCCCTCTGCGAGCTCAGCAGGTCCTCTGAGGTCGTGATGGCAGGACCCGCTCCAATGCACAGGCTCGCGGTCCGCCCCACGGCCCCGCCCGGTCCCGGGCGCTGGCATTCCGCCCCTCCGGGCCAGCTCCGAGGCGGACAGCAGCACGCGGGCGGGGTGGGCCGCTCCCCACCTGGTAGTAGGCCCTCTGCAGGTAGTTGTAGGGCTCCCGACGGCGGAAGGCGTCCCGGAGCGCGCTGCCCACGCGCAGCCGCGCCGCGCCCCCCGGGCCCAGCCTCCGCGCGGCGCACTGGGTCAGGCACTCGGCGCGGCGGAGCGCGGCGCGGAGACCAGCGGCTCCAGGGCAGCCCGTGGTCGCGGGTCCGGGTCCGGGCCCGGGGTCGGGCCGCGGGGCGCCAGCAGCAACGGCGGGAGCGCGCGCCGGGCCTCGGCCGCACAGCTCCGCCCCGGCAGTCCCGCCGCGCGAGGCCCAGCGCCGCCCGGCTCCGCAGCGCCTCCCGCAGCAGCGCCACGGCGGGCGCCCAAGCCCCGGCCGCGTAGGCGCGCAGCCCGTCGGCGTAGAGCAAGTCGGGGGCCTGCGGGCGCGCCCCCGGGGACACCGGGGCCAGGCCGGGGGGCTCGGGGGACCCCGGGGGAGGCAGCAGCAGCAGTAGCAGCAGCAACCGAAGGAGCCGGAGCATGGTGTCCGCGCTGCCGGCCGGCTGCGGAAGGGAAATGGGGAGCCGAGAGGGAGGGAGAGGAGAGGGGTAGGAGAGGGAGGGGAAGGAAGGAGAGATGGAGAGGCGGAGGGAGACGGAGAGAAGGAATGAGGAAGGCCGAAGAGAGAACCGACCCCGGGAGAGGCCGGTGTGAGAGATGGAGAGGGGAGTCGGAGGGAGCAGGGGCTGAGTGGGGAAAGCCGTCTTTAAGACGGCGGGACTAGTGTGTGTTGAGAAAGGGAAACTGGGGAGAGGAGGGCAAAAGGCAGGAACTGGAGCAGGCCTGGGAGTGACTCCAGTCCCTGAGGCCCATGGTGGTGATGGGGCAGAGAACTACTGGGGCTGTGTTCCCCTCCGCGCTTGGTCCAGGAGACGCCTCCCACACCGTCATCCACAAGCACACACCCCTGGAGAAAGAGCTTTAGCACGTAGCGCGGAGGAGGGTAGCTCCAGGCCTGGGACACCAAGTCAGCCCCAAACTCTTTGCTGCCCAGAAAGTGAGCCCTTGGATACATTTGGGGCTAGCAGAGTTGGGGCATTGGGTATGGAGCCACACTCTCTCTAAACTGTCTCCACAAATCTGAACAAAGATCCTTCACACCCCAAACCAACAAACTCCAGTGTGTCCCCATGCCCAGCCCGGCTCACATGCACCTCCCAGCCCCCAGCCCGTCTCTGAGCATGTCTGTGCCTTAATGGGTGTGATCATTTCTCCAGGAGTCTCTGCCTGTCTGCGGCCCCTGCTCTATTTGTCCTCTAGGAGCAGCTCCACCCACTAAGCCTCTGATGGTACACTTTGCCATCACAGTACACTGGACACTGAGGTTTCCATGGCAACACTTCAGACTTTAATAAATTTTGCTAAGGATGGTGGCAGGTGAGCAGGGCCTCTGGTCACTTGGGTAGGAGAGAGCAGGGGCTCCAGAGCCCCAGATCCAGCCCCATCTCCCTGGAGTCTGGGGCAGCTGTCCCAGGCTCAGGGCCGGAACGAGGTGTTACTCAGGCCCCCTCCTCTCAGTCCAGCAGGCCCACCTGGGCTCACAGGGTCAGCTGAGGGAATACGGGGTTGCTGGGGCCCCAGGAGCCTCCCCAAGCCCTTGCACTGCCCTCACCACCGGTCAGGGAGCAGCGTCTCCCTGAACTTAGCCCCAGAGGAAGTCCAATGGCTCTGCTATCAGGGGACCCAAGGGACAGTCGTCGGGGTGAGAGGCCCAGTGGCCTGGGCCGGCGAGGAGAGGGCCCTGGTGAGGCAGTTGGAGAAGGCAGAGGTGTCTCGTCAATGAAGGTGGTGATCTCCTCTCGAAAGAAGCCAGGACCCCGTGGGGGTCCTTCACCTGACCCCAGAACCCCACTCTCTAGGAATTGGCGAAGGCTGGCCAGCCCCCCACCTTCAGCCTCCTCCTCATCCTCCAGCCTGTGTCTCTGTCCCAGGTACTCAGGAGGGCCCCCAAGAGCCCGGCTCTGGGCTGGGAGGATCCGGATGTCATCAGAGGATGACCACTTGTGCAGGAAGGAGCCTGGTGCCCGAGGGGTAGAGAAGATGTTGGTCTCGTCATGGGACAGGCGGCGGGATAGAGGGACCTGGGAAGAGGAGCAGGTAACACCTGGAGGTGCTGTAGGGACAAAGGAGGTGGAGGCAAAACCAACCTTGGGACTCAGCAGGAGGGCTCCACCCTCTCAACCGGTCCTGAGAGGTCTGGAGAGGAGCCTCTCAAACTGTGCCTTTCTTTCACCCACCCTCATGCTGCCTTGTGGGCCAGGGCTGGGGAGGACACTCTAGAGAAGTGGTAAGGGGCACCAAGGGTAGGAGGTGTACCCCCAGCCCCATACCTGTAAGTAGTGGACTCTCTCAAGAGGGGGAAAGAGCATGTGCCTTCCAGGCAGCAGCTTCACCTGGGTGGGGTTGCGGCCTCCTGGGCCTGTGGCCCCATTAGCATCAAAGCGAACTTTGCACACTCGGCCATCTGCATAGTCATCACAGCCCCCATCTAGAAGAGAAAAGGGGCAGAGTGGTTACAGGTAGGGAATGCCCACACCCCCACCTCTTTTATAAGCCCCCAGAGACCCCTTCAGTTCCCATTAATCTGTAAGCTCCAAGAGGACAGCGTGAGTGGCTGGCATTTGCTGGTCAGTGCTGAGTCCGTGGTGCCTCACACATATAAACATAGTTATTGAAACAACTACCTGCCCTCCCCCAAGAACTGTCCTATAGCTGGGTGTCTCTCTCAGGAAGCCCGGCCTCCCCTTAGTGCCACAGCCTTCCTGACGGTTGTGTTGGGATTCTGGACTGTTTCTTGGGCACTCTGCCTGGTGGGGCCAGTGCTGGGCAGGGTGGGCTTCTGGAGGGGAGTGGGCTGCAGGGTGCCCGCACAGGGAAAGGGGAGCGGGGTGGTGCCGGCTCTGTCCGGCAGGGGGCACTCCAGGGCAGCCCATCCTCTCAGAGAAGGCGCGGTGGAAATGGGCAGAAAAGGGAATAATGTCCAGGAAAGCAAAACCCAGTCCCTCCTCTGACCGTCATCACCGTCCTCCTCGGACATGATGGCCACGCACTGCCCCCACACTGTGCGCACGTCGGCGCGGTAGCGCTCGCAGGACCAGATGAAGGAGGGCAGCAGCAGCGTCTGTGCCATGGAGCACCACAGCACGGCCAGCACCATCCAGGGGGGCGCGGAGTCCGACTTGAGGGAGAAGAAGCTCACCACCTGGCGAGGATGGAATAGGCTGGGTCAGGGTCCAGATATCCTAGAGCAGTTGGTGGGCCGGGAGTCAGGAAGGGACGCCTGATCCCTGTGACTGGGACAAAGGCAAAGTAGGAGGTGGAGGCAGGGTGAGCAGAGGGACGGGATTGACTCAGAAGAAAGTCAGGAGAGTGCTGGGGACAAAGCTGTGGGGTCAGGAGAAAGAGGAACAGAGGTGGAGCAGGAACCTTGAAGACAGAGAGAAACCCAGGAATAGGGACTAGATGGGGCGAGCCCTGTGGGGTTTCTGCACAAGAGTGCTCAGAGACCATGCGGGCTCCCAGGGGATGGAGAATGGAGCTCAGCAGCTGGGCGACAGGTCTAGGGGGCGACTCAGACAGCGGCAGGATGGATGGTGCTGGAGGACAGGTGGTGGAACTGAAGGGCAATGGCGGAGCTGGGGCAGTTGGGATAGTGGGACTAGAGGATGGGTGACAGAGATGGGGGCTCGCAAATGGAGTGGAGGACGGGTAGAGGAGAGGAAGATGGATGACGGAGCTGCTGCGTGGCTGATGGAGCTGGAGGTCAGGTGATGATTTGGGGCCTGGACATCTGGACATCGGGGAGAATAGGTGGGGGGACCCTGCTCTCACCAAGATGGGCACCCCTGTGAGCGAGTCATAGAGAAAGACGATGGCGCTGACCAAGTTGGTGACCTGCAGGGATGTCTTGGCAGACTCGGAGCCATCCAGTGAGGACCGCCGCTTCCCTCGGGCATCCTCCACCACAATGGCTGGCACCTCAAAAGCTGGCCGGGTACCCAAGCCCCCTGGCCCACCCCCCTTAACCCCCCCAGCTCCCCCCGCTCTCCAGGCCTGCTGAGCCCTCCTGGGCCGGGCCCACAGCGTCTGGTAGAAGGTGATGGCCACACAGACCAGCCCCATGACGATGCCCCCAAGTAGCAATAGGCTGAAGCAGACGCCAAAGCCGAGGCCGATTTTGGAGACTATGAACTGGCAGCCCCGGGCGTAGTAGCGCTCGCCGTTGTTGTGCCAGCCAATGGAGGGCAGCGTGGACAGGATGAAGCTGACCATCCAGATGCCCATGACAGCGTGCAGCGCCTGCTTCTTGGCATTGCTGAGGCGGTAGTTGACGGGCCAGCGCACCATCCACATGCGGTGGTAGGAGAGCGAGGCGACTGTGAAGCAGGTGGCCAGGGCCAGTGTGTAGTAGGTGGACACAAAGACCTTGCAGATGCTCTCGTTCCAGTCATAGTCGGAGGAAGCCTGCCGCCGCAGCTGCACCACGGCAAAGGTGGTGAGGGGCACGGCCGCCATGAGGATGTGCGTGCCCGCCAGGAAGCAGAGCAGCAGCTCCAGCGGCTTGTGCTTCTGCTGCTTGGCCGAGATGCTGAGGATGATCCAGGCATTGGCCAGCAGCGCCAGGAGCCCGCAGGCCAGCCAGGACAATGCGCTGGAGCGCAGAGAGGCCTCCTCCGCCCCCACCCCGCCCCGAGCCATCCTATCCTCAGCCCCCCACCCCCCTTGAATTCCTGGGGGCGGGGGCTAGGTCTCACCCAGGAGCCCCACTCACACGCACCCCCATGGTGCCCACAGTCCCTGCTCTGCAGAGAGGCAGGCTGCCCCCAGGCCCACACTGCTGCTCAGCATTGCATGACTGGCCCCGCTGAGGGCAGACGCGAGGTCAGCAGAGGCAGTCCTCAGCCTTCATGGTGGGCAGGGCCTTCCTTAAGTACCCCTGCAACGGATGGCAGAGGCAAGTTGGCTGCTTTCCCAACTATGAGGCTGGCTGGGGGGCTTTGGTCCCCATGCTGGGACTTCCAGGTCTCTTTTTCCTCTGGTTCTTGACCAGTCAGGAATCTTCTGGATGCCCCTGGGATTTGGAAGTGGGGCTCAGCCCTCTGGCCCAGCTGTAAGGGAAAGATGAGATGTGGGAGGAGGAAGGCAAAGGTAGGGCCTAGGGTGGTCTCCAAATGGCTTCTTGTGCCCCCTTCTCTTGAAACTGTAGAAATGGCTGATTACTAAGGGCCAGGGGGTTGTTCAGAACTTTCCTCTGCCTTAAATCAGATCCCCCAATACCCCGCACAAATAAGAAAATGCTCCTGCTCTTCCAGACCTCCAGGAAAGAAGGTATTCTTACCTCCCTGTCTCCTTTAGCCCTTTCTCCTCCCCCTGGAACTCCCAGGTTCCTCCTTAGAATGTCCCCTGCTCAGTACTGCTCCACCCTGTCTCCTGTCCCTAAATGTCTCTTCAGAGCTACTGATGCCAGACTCATGACTTATTTCTTCTTGAGGGTTACAGTAAACTGGGATATGGTATTACAGCCCCCGCCCCTACCTGCCAGTCTCCTGGATCCAGTGGTGCTGGAGCTCAGCCCCTTTTCCCCAAGCCTGCCCAGATCTGGGAAAATGGGAGAAAGGAGGCTGGGACCAAAGGGGGGGGGGCTAGGGAATCTGAAGGCGGGGAAACCGCTGACATCAGAAACATCCAGAAATGGAAAGAGGGGGAACTAGGGAGAAGGAGGAGAGTTTGAGCAGAAGAGAAAGAGGGGGCAAAGTGGTAGTATCTGAAAATAGAAGGAAAAGCTCAGAACCCCCTGGAGAGGCTTTGGAGGGAGGAGGGGTTGGAGGAGGTAGGGAGCAGGGAATAGGGAGGCCAGGAGAAAAGCCAAATGCTCACTAAGGGGCTGACTCCCACTGGGAGACCTTGATTCTTTCCTTCCCTGGCCCAGAGCCTCAGTTTCCCTCTGATGGGAGGAAGGACAGTCCTCATTTTAGTGAGGCTGAGCTCCAGTGAGCCCTGGGGAGGGGGTTAAGAGGAAATCTGTGAAACCTTGAACAGAGTAGAGGCTGCAAGGAGGAGGGCAATGGCTTTAGGATAAATTGGGCAAAGATGAGGCACCTCAGGGAGAGGGGCTTTCCCCAAGGAAGAACCTCAGACCCTTGCCATCCCCAAGAGGTCCTAGTCCACCCCCACTTTTGTCTTCCCTCCAGAGCCCAGTGCACCTTAGTTGCCATGGCAATGGCCAGTCAGAGGGAGGTGGAGGGAACTGGTCAGGAGCACCCCCCACTACCCTCCCCTGCAGCCTTGGACCCCTCCCCACCCACCTCCACCCAGGCCCAGCTGGTGGGCTGAGGAAGACATGGGGAGTTAGAGAGAGGGAAGGAGGCAGGAAGGATGTGAAGGACAGAGAGAAGGGGGTGAAGGACAGAGAGGGATCAGAGGAACGTGCGAGGGGGACCTGGGGGCTCCGTGGCCTGCAGGGTCGGTCGCCCTTCGGGGCGAAGGTGTAAGGTCAGGCGGCTCCTCCCTCCTGCCCCCCACCGGGTTCTCCAGGGCAGAAACAGCAGGTGGCTGGGGAGGAGGGGCGGCCGGAGGGGAGAGGAGGCAGCTGGGGGAAGAGGGGAGGCCACGGGGGACAGGGCAGGGGTCGTCTTACCTCTGGCCGTGCCCGGCACTGCCATGGAGACCGCACTCCGGACGCCGCGCTCTCGGGCTCACGCCGCCGCCGCTCGGGCTCGCCCGCCCTCCTCCCTCCCGCTCCCTCCGGGCCTCCCTCCTCCCCCGCAGCCCGGCCTCCGGCTCCGCCCGGCTCACTCGCTCCCTGCCCGCGCGCTCAGTCCGCGCCCCTCTCTCCCGGCTCGTCCAGCTTGCGAGCGGGGCGCGGGGGACCGAAGGACAGCTTTGCGGGCGGGGGCCGAGTGCAGGGCGGGGAACTGGACGGCGGCGACTTGGAGGAGGAGGGGCGAGGAAGCGCCGGGAGGGAGGGGGCGAGGAGGCTGGCGGGGAACCGGCTTCCTTGGTGAAGCGGCTCGTGTCCTGCCCCCACCCCATCCCGGTTTTCAACACGAACACAAGCTCCAGGAGGCAGCTGGTGTTGTTTGGTACTGAGGAGCTAGCTGCTGGGGAGGAGGGACGTGTGTCACTGTGTGTGTCAGTGAGGGCTGGGCCGTGGGAGTAGCTGGGGGGCCACCGCCGGCGGCCTGCTGGAGGCCAGGGGGCTTGGGATGCCAGCGGGGCTGCTAGTGGAGATGGGTGTGCAGGGACTAAAAGGACGTGGGTGCGTGCGCCAGCACACACACACACACACACACACACACACACACACTGCCCCCTCTTCCTGGAACACAAACACACTTATGTTGGGGACACACACACGCTTTGCACACACACGACACAGTTTCTTGTAGTCCTCCCCAACGCACACACACACACTCCAGGAGAGCGCACACCCCTCCCACAGTGTAATTGCAGTCTTAGCCTCACACTCACAGGGCCCACACAGAGCCCAGTGTGTCCAGGTGGGCAATCAGCCTCCAGGAAATTTTCCCGCCCCAGAGAAACTTCATCTCCTTCCTGGGACAGGCCTCCCAACCCCTCCTTTGGATCTGACCCCAGACCCCAAAGACCAGAAGATTCTGGTTTCCAGAGAAGTCTCCACACCTCTCTGTGTTTCACACACACACACACACACACACACACACACACACACAAATGAAGGGCATTTCAACTTCTTTATAGTAAGTTTATTGTATTTTTCTTTCAGCTCAGGGAAGCAAGGGTAGGGAATGGGCAGAATTGCAAAGTGAGCAGTGGGGGCCCTTGCAGCATTGGGTGGTCTTTCTAGAAGAGGCAAGCTGGGGAGAAAGAGGGAGAAAGGAACCGGGAAAAGGGGTTGGGACTGAGGGAGGTGGTGAGGAAGGGAAGGGAGAGAGAGGCAGAGGAGGCTGGGGGGGGGATGATGAGAGAAATGATAAAGAGAGGAGGAAGAAGATGACTTGTAACCCTGGCTGCCCTGGGTCCCTAGTGGTTTGGAGGAGGGTACAGGCCAGAGCACTGAGTCCCAGCTTTGGCTAGCTCCCCACCTCCTCCAGCAGTCACTTCCAGAAGGTTCTGTATAGGGTGAGTGGCTGGTCACTGGGCATTCTCTCCTGCAGGGCCTCTGCTCTCAGCCTGTGCTCTGATTAGCAGAACGGAAAGCTTTGTACTCTGGTAACAGGATTCTGCCACCAGCAGGCGATGAAAGAGGCTTTTTAGGCAGGCAGGCCTTCTTCCATGCGTGAGTTCTCTGACACAGGCCCTCCCTGGGGGTGGGGCACTCCTGTGAAGCCAAGGGTGCATACTGGGTCCTGTGAGGAGCCACCATGGAGATCTGTGTGGTATCTGTGTCTGCACTCAAGAGGCAGCAGGGAACTAGGGGCTGAGAGATGGGGTTGGTCCTGACCCAGCACTTGCTAGCCCTGTGGCCGTGGGAAGCAATTATCCAGCCCTCTCAGCTCCCTTTTCTGGCCTGGGGCCTGCAGGTGATAATCTCCGTTCTGTCACTGCCAGCCTTGTGGGATTCTTGTAAGGTTTGAATAGACAGAGGTTAGAAATACTCAGATGTGCTGCTTGGGTGATAAGGAATTGCGTCTGTGACAAGTGTGTGGCTGTGTGCTCGGGGTGTGTCGGGAGCCCCATTTGTGCAAGGTCAGGACGTGAGGCTGTGGCCCTGCCAAGTCAGGCTGAGGAGCAGGCAGCATGGGGCTGGCAGTCAGGAGGCGCTTTGGATCCCCACCCTTCCCTGACTGGCTGTGTGATCCTGGGCAAGCTCCGGGCCTCTTCGCTCACAGTGTTCTCTCCTGTAAAGTGACAGTCCTGTGCTCCATGCTTGCAGACACCCAGCCCTGCCCTCCGTGCCAGGCGGGGCTGGCCCTGTGCACTGCTCTGGGATCCGAGTGGGCAGTGGGGGAGAGGGTCAAAGAGAAATAATCAGAGAAGGGCTAGGGCTTGAACGAAAAGGAAATGGGAAAGGAATCGCATGATTAAGGCTCAGGAGCAAGATTCAGCCAGTGAGGTCGGGGCCTCAGCCAGGGTTGGGAACAGAGTGGAGAAACAATGGGGAATTGTAGAGGGGGAGCAGGAGGCCAGAGGCCTGGGATCTGCTACATTCATCTGGTCCGCAGGCCCTGAGCCCAAAACGCGGGGCAGACAGCCTGGGAGGCTGCAAGTGGGCAACCCCTCTGGCCTCGGACCTCAAATGAGGTTATGTGTCTTCTGGAACCGGCTGGGGGAACAAAATATAAGGGGATCAAGTCCACCCACTGCAACCCCTGTGTGTTCCAGGACCTCTGTGGGTTTTCTCTGCCAGTGCAGTGCCAGCCTCTGGGCCACAGCTGCAGTGCCCTCCAAGAGACCTCTACCTGCTGCCCCTTCCCCTCTGTTCCTTGGCCATCTCCTTCCACCCCTCTCCTCTGCACCTGCCCCTTTAGCCCCATCCCCTCACCTCCTCCCTCCCTCCATCCCTCCTCCCTCCTCCTCCTCCCCCTCTCTCTTGTCAACTCCTTCCCCTTCTCCTCCCCTTTCCTCCCCTCAGTCTCCCACCCTTCCCTCCCTTTCTCTCCCTTCTACCCCCTCTACCCAGATCCTTACTGGGGACACTGGCAGGTCTTCTTCTCACTGAGGAGTCTCCTGATCTGAGACTTCCGCTGTGCCTGGCGCTGTCCAGGGACAAGGAGGGGAGTCATGAGGGTCCCAGGCCTCCAGAAGGGAGGTGCCTCTTGGAGGGGGGAGTAGGGGCAGCTGGGAGAGGAGGAGCAGTCACTGTGGCTGAGGCCATCTGTCCTGGAATGAACTCTCTGCTCCTTCCTGTCTCTCCGTGTGGGGTCTGGATAGGGCAGCAGGGCACTCGGGGTGGGCAGAGGGAGCTGGACCAGAAGCAGCCCCACATACAGGATACCCCGGTACAGGACTCAGGTGCTTGAGGGCCCTGGGGACTTCGGGGGGAGGGTTCCTGGCCAGGCTCACTCACCCTTCGGAGCCTGACACAGTAGAAGATGCCAAGCACGATGGAAAGCAGGCCTGCGGAGCCACCCAGCACAATCGGGAGCATTGGCTGCACCTGAGGGAACCGTTGGGGCGAAACTGCAAGAGAGAGAGGGGTGCTTGGCGCACTGCCCTCCACCGGGGCCACAGAGCCCACTGCAGCAGCCTGACCCCAGGCCCGGGAAGTGGGGCATGGTACAGGCAGAGCTGGGGAAGGGATTTTGTGTTTTAGAGACTCTAGGGCACGCTGGAGAGCTAGAAGCAGTGGTCCACATTCCAGACCCTGGGCCCTGTGTGAGTGCGTATGTGCACGTGTGTGTGTGTGTGTGTGTGTGTGTGTGTGTATGAGACTCGGTTCAAAGGGGAGCCAGGGACAGGCCCTTGGTCAGCTGGGCACTGTTCCTTGGCTGTAGACCTTATGGAGGTGGGAACTTGCAGGACTGCAAATGGGAGGCTAGAGCCCAGAACCATGCCCAACTCACCTTTTCACCTCTGCTCCCTCCCCGCCACCGTGCCCATAGCCCCTCCCTCTCAGAGGAGTTGGGAGGCTGGGACCCTGGGTGGTCTCTGCCAACCACACGAAGGCGCCACAGCGAGAGGCTTGGGGTTAGGCCATGGAACCTGGATCCTTACCCTCCTGCTTGGATTCCAGCAGGACCTGGTCCGCGTCACTCAGTAGACACTGCCACATCCCTTCCTCAGGGTCCAGCACCCACACGGCCTTCTCCTGCTTTGAGACCTTTGCCTCCTTGTTCTCCTGCTTCAAGCTCAGAACCAGCTTAGGGGAAGTGGGTCCCAGCACCTCACAGGTCAAATTGTTCTGGAGCTGAGTCACTGCAGAGGAACGAGAGGCTGAGACTGGGAGCCTGGGCCCCCGGGTCCCCAGCACCCTCAAGCTCTCCATCAAAACAATATGCTAGGCCCAGCGGTGGCTCACGCCTGTAATCCTAACACTTTGGGAAGCTGAGGCAAGAGGATCAATGATGGCCGGAGTTCGACACCAGCCTGAGCAAGAGTAAGACCCTGTCTCTACAAAAATAGAAAAATGAGCCAGGCATGGTGGTGCCAACCTGTAGTCCTAGGTATTCGGGAGGCTTGAGCCCAGGAGTTTGAGGTTGCAGTGAAATACGATGACACCACTGCACTGTAGCCTGGGTGACAGAGTGAGACTCTGTCATAAGGAAAAGAAAATGATACTTTACATGGATGGCCTTCTTTTAGCCTCTCAGGGCACGCTTTCATGCAATCATAAGAGTGAAAACACAGCTTTTGGTGTCCAGTGGTCTTGGATTTAACTCCCAGCTCTACTGCTTACTAGCTGTGAGTCCCTGGGCAAGTTCCTTAATGACCCGTGCCCTGGACAATAATTAAATGCACGAACATATGTAAAGTGTTTGAATGGGGCCTGGTGTGTACTAAGCATCGGGTGTTAGCCATTATTATTTGTGGGGTTGTTATGATGATAAGGAGCTAAGGAATCGTAGAACTCAGCAGAGTTTGCCATTATCATCATTACTAGCAAGCAAAGAGCAGATTTTGTTATTTTTATTAGACAGGTGAGAAAGCAGGCCTGCGGTGGGTAGGGGCTTTGCCAGGACCACAGAATGTTGGGCACAGGCAGAACTAGAACCCTGGTTCTTAGCCTAGGTGCTTTGGGGAGTCTCGGTGGAGCAGCCCCAGACTGTCTTATGGATGAGTCAGTTCAAAACCAGCGCCAAGGCCGGGCGCGGTGGCTCACGCCTGTAATTCTAGCTCTCTGGGAGGCCAAGGCAGGCGGATTGCTCAAGGTCAGGAGTTCAAAACCAGCCTGAGCAAGAGTGAGACCCCGTCTCTACTATAAATAGAAAGAAACTAATTGGCCAACTGATATATATATAAAAAAAAAAAATTAGCCGGGCATGGTGGCACTTGCCTGCAGTCCCAGCTGCTCGGGAGGCTGAGACAGAAGAATCGCTCGAGCCCAGGAGTTTGAGGTTGCTGTGAGCTAGGCTGACGCCACGGCACTCACTCTAGCCTGGGCAACAAAGCGAGACTCTGTCTCAAAAAAAAAAAAAAAAAAACCAGCGCCAAACCCAGATGGCCCTCAGTCACTTCAACCCTGCAGCCAGGGCCTCTCCACCTCCTTCCCCTGCTCTCCCCTCCTCAGCCTAGCCCCTCACCTCTCATCACCACGAGCTTCACTTCCTGGTGCAGCTGTCCCTTGGCAAGAACCAGGGTCAGGTATCCAGAACCAGCATACTGGGGCAGGGCCTGGGACAGGGTGATCTGGAGCGGGAGCGTCTTGGGCATCTGGAGCTTGGGGTCCTGGGTCACCCTTTGCACAGTCACCTCCTTGTTCTTCAAGGAGAAGGTAACCCAGGACTTAGGGGAGGAAGCCCTCTCCGCCTGCCACCTCAGCTCGCCATCCAGGTTTTCCTCTTCGAAGGTGAGTGGGAAGGAGAACTCCACCTGCTCCCCCTCTTTCTTGTAGATGGTGCTGGGGGCCTTCTGGAATGCTGGAGGTGGGAAGAGAGAGACCCTGGTGAGAAGGAGTTAAGAAGATGAGGGTTACAGGGGCGTAGGGTTGTGGCAGGGGCAGCAAGGAGATGGAAGGGGGACCAGGTACGTCCAAACTTAGTCCTAGCTTGTCACTTCAGGTACTTAAACTCCTTCTACCTCTCCAGTCTTCCCTCCGTCTCTCCACCAAGCATATTCCCAGGCAGCCCACCTCCCTCCTCCAGAAACCTTCACAGAACAGCCCAGCCACAGGGCGGGGGCGGGGTTGGGGGACCCCCCCCTCCTCAAGGTCCAGGAGCCACTTGGCCTCCACCCTCAGAGGCGTCATTTCTCACCCTTGACAAAATAAGAGCCAGCACTGCAACAGGGCTTTCTGTGCACCAGGCACTGCCCTAAGGGTGTTACACACGTCAGTTGGCACCCACAGGGTAGGCCATCCTCATCTTACAGATGCAGAAACCAAGCACAGAGAGGTTCAGTAAGTTGCCCAAGGCCACGTGGTTGTGGCAGAGCCAGGATTTTGTAGTTCATGCACCAAACTAGCACCTAGGCACCGGAGGACAGGATCTGGGGTGGGACCTTGGTCTCCCCGCAGTGCCTCATGCAGGGCTATAGAGGTACAGTGTAGAATTTCCTCAGATCTGCCTTGCTGGCGTTCGTGTCCCTGAGTAAGTGGATTTGCCAACTTGGCGAGGTGGGAAGCTGAGATAGCAAAGAAAACAGACACCCTTGCCACTCCTCCTTGGGGGCCTCCCCCAGGGGTCTCTAGGGCCTCACATATCTCTCCTTACCCTCCCCAACCCTCCCTGTGGCCATGTCCCCCATGCCGAGGACAAGGAGCCCAGTGTATCCCTCGGGGCAGACCTCAGCTCTGGGGGTCTGGATCCAGCCTCCCCGTCCCCCAGTCCCCCAGCACCAGACCCGGAGCAGAGCAGTGGGAGGGAAGAGGGGCTGTCAGCCCTGAGGCAGGGAGGAGGCTGCGGACGGAGGGGCCCCTCTTACCCAGCACTGAGATGTGTATTTTGAATGCCAGTGTCTGCCGGTCCTGGGAGACGGTGCATGTCCACGTGCCGCTGTCCTGGATCCCCAGCTGGGGCAATGAGAGGAGACTGACCCCATTTATGTTTTTATTCCCTGGACTCTTACAGTGCACTGAGGGGCTGCTACCACGGGGACTCTCCAAGGTCAGCGTCAGGCTCTGCCCATGCAGCACGCGGGTGCCCGAGTTGGCCGTCACTGTGGAGGGAACAGGCCACCTGTGTCACATATACACCATTCCCACAGAGAAGGGAAAGGACAGGAAACCAGGAGTGTCTCTGCTATCCCCTGAACCAACATTGCCTTTCCTGCCAGCTCCCAGCTGCCCACCCAGCCAAGGCAGGGCCTCCCTGGCTCCTCCTCCCCTCCGTCCCTTTTCTCCTCTCCCCCATTCCTCCCGTCCCTGGTCCCTCTTGTCTCTTCTTCCTTCCTCTGTTCCTTCTCTCTCTCTAGGCCTCTTCCTCCCTCCCCTGCCTGACCCAAGGCCCAAGGAGGGTTTGAGGGAACTGGTGGCCAGTCAATCCCTCTCTGGGCTGCTGAAGTGTCACCAGCTCAGGCTGGTTTGGGGGCAGGGTGGGAGGAGGGGCGGACCGGGGCTGGAGGCATGCTCATTCTGGAAGGCCCCACTCACGTCCGAACACCAGCAGTTCCACCTCCTTCTTGTCCTCCACTTCACAGATGTAACTCCCTGAGTCTTTCATCTCCAGATTCTTGATGACCAGGGGAAAGGATCCTTGGTCCCACAGGTTTTTTTTTGATTCCACACGATTTTTCATCATGGAGGGACCTGGGAGTAGAAGCCGTTTGGGGAAGGTGGAGGTACCCAGGAGATAAGGCCCCCATGGCAGGAGCATATGCTCAACTCTTCTGACCTGAGCTGCTAATTTCCTGCAGAATCTGCCCTGTCCTCGTCAGAGCGCCCCAGGCTGGCAAGGAGATCCCACCGTAGCCATTTACCTGTCTGGGACAATATCTCTCTGATCCAAAATAAAATAATATCCTCACTTGGAGAGCACCAACTCCCACATGCTGAACACTTTACATGCACCGTCTCGAGTTATCTCCACAGTGATTCCGAGGAATAGGCACTGTGTTGCTTATGTTACCGAGAAGGAAGCTGAGACTTGAGGACATTAAGTAATTGTCTAAACTTTTACACGTTGTTGGTAGGAGTGGAAACCAGTACAAGTTCTTCAGGGGTCAATTTGTAATATCTATCAGAATTACAAATGCACATACAAAGCTAAATGTCCACCGAAAAGGGTAGGTTAAATAAATTATAGTTCACTCATTCAGTAGATTGCCCTACAGCCATAAGAATAAGAAAGCTCTTTTTTTTTTTTTTTTTTTTGACAGAGTCTTACTCTGTTGCCCGGGCTAGAGTGCCGTGGCATCAGCCTAGCTCACAGCAACCTCAAACTCCTGGGCTCAAGCGATCCTCCTGCCTCAGCCTCCTGAGTAGCTGGGACTACAGGCATGCGCCACCATGCCTGGCTAATTTTTTCTGTATATTTTTAGTTGGCCAATTAATTTGTTTCTAGTTTTAGTAGAGACTGGGTCTCGCTCTTGCTCAGGCTGATTTCGAACTCCTGACCTTGAGCAATCCTCCTGCCTCAGCCTCCCAGAGTGCTAGGATTACAGGCGTGAGCCACCGTGTCCAGCCAAGAAAGCTCTTTATATACTGACATAGAATAGTATCTAAAAACATCACTAACCGAAGAAAGCAAGATATTAAACTATCTACTATTTGTTTATGAAGGGAGAGAAAAAATATATGCCTTCTATATTTAAAAAATGTTTCTAGAAGTAAACATAAGAAAATGGTAACCTTGGCTGCCTCTGGGGAGAGGAAGCGAATACACAGGAAGCAGGTGCAGGAGGAAGACTTTTCACTATGTGTCTTTTCTCCTTTTTGAATTTTGACTCCACTAAGTGGAGACCTAGGGTTAAAACCTAGGCCTGTTGGCTACACTGTGTAATGCTATCTCTAGCAAGTTCCTCTGGCATGGATATGTGGCCTACTCTGCTCTCTTCTTTTAGTATCTAACAACCATCCCCACAAGGAAGTTCTTCCCTTCAGAGAGCATTTTCTGGGTGCAGTGGCAGCTCCAGAATCCCTGTGGAGGAGGGCTCTAGGGGCTGAGCTCACAAACACAGAGGCTTGTTTTTTTTTGTTTTTTTTTTTTACTTAGAATGTGTATTTGGAGGGATGAGGCAAAGGTGGCCACAGGTGGCCTATGCCTTCCTGAGGACTCCTAGGCCCCTCTGGGTGCCCCACCCTGGTGCAGGAGACTGGGTGCCGCCTGGCCACGCTCTCCCTTCCCTCCTCTTCCAGAGCGCAGAGCCCTGTCCCCACCGCAGGCTGCCCCTGTCCGCCTTGCGCAGCCTGGGCGCACTCCTGCTCTGGTTTACCCCCACCCACCCTGCACACGCCAAATCTCCCCCTTTATTAGTCCTTTAAGTAGTACCTACCCTGCTTGCTGTTTCCTAGATCTCTGCACTGGTTTAGCTCCCCAGTTTTTTTGAAATCCCGCTGCGTATTTTTTCAGAATTCCTTTACCGAGCTTCTTGAAAGAGCAGCCTACTCTGGCTTTGCCTCTTTTTCCGCCTCCTCTGATTCCATCCTCCATGTCTAAGTATCATTGTTTCTTCACCTTGGACTCTTGCTCTGACATCTAGATGGAGGCATGTTGCCCCAGACTGTGACTAGGTCTCTCCCCGTTTCCGCAAACATCTAAATCCCTCTGCATGCCCCAGTTCTGCCCAGCTCCCAATGGCCACACTCAGGTCTATGCACATCCTGCCTGCTTCGCCCCAAACACAATTGGTTCAAAACAAATGCATCGCCTCCTCCTGAAATAACTCTGTCTGCTTGCTTCTCTTTCTTTTAGGAACAAACCACAGTGCGCGTGTCTGTGCCGTCTCATCCTTTGGGAAAGCGATGGCAAGACAGTGTGAAAGGTCTAAGCATGTGGGTGAGTCTAGGACAAATTCAGGGTGACCAGTATTGAACAAAGCCTTAAAAGAAATGATAGGCCACAGACGAGAGGAGAGGGAGGCGGCAGGGGCCTTCTGGGAAGGGGAGAAAGCGCCAGGAGGGCAGCTCAGGCAAGCTGCCAGACCGCGGGCAGGGGGAGCTTTCTGGGTGGGCAGCTGTGCGCAGTGTTGCTGAGAGGGCAAGTGTCCGGCAGAGGCTTCTAGGTGTAGTCCAGTGGGCGAGGGAGGGGTGTGCAGAGCATTGCTTTGCGGAAGTCAGCGCTGCAGCAGCAGGAAGAGAAAGCCAAGCAGGAGACCCTGGTAGCACAGAGGATCACCAGGAAGCTCACTGTAATCCCGGTGGGGGCATGTGGGCCTGGGCCTGTGAAGGTGGCTTTCCCATGGGAACAGAGAAGAGGACGAAACCAAAACACTTTCAAAGAAAGGAACGGGCACAGTTGGTGAGTGATGGGAAGCCAGGGACCGAAGTAGAGAAAAAAAAAATCTGACTCTGTGGTTCAGAAATTGGGGCCACAAGGAGAGTGACGCTGCCATTGTCAGAGCCAGGAAGTTGGAAGGGGAGCTGTTCTAGAAGCTGTTCTAGAAGAGCAGGTTCTTAGAAACAGAACAAAAGCATCCACACAAAAGACTTAAGAATTTTTAGAAAGTAGCACATTGTTTTAATCTCTCAGGTGATCAAAGACATGCAAATTAGAACAATGATATGTTTTTCAACTATAAAATTAGCAAAAAGAAAGTTTTAAATAATGCTACCCAGTGTTGGCAAGGTGAGCTCACGAGAGAGGCACACAGTGACATTACCTAGAGTTGGCACGGACAGGCAGAGTCTTCGGGGCAGCAGTCTTGCTATATGTACCAACTACTTCTGAAAGGTCATATTCTTAATTTCATTTCTAGAACTTTATCCTTAAAACAATAATTTAAAAATGTACACCAATATTTACATACAGAAATAACAGTGTTGTTAGTAGGGCACAGTGCTAGGACAGCATAATTCTGTTAGGGACTTTTCTGATGCAAATATTAGGTCGGCACCAAAAATGATATTACATACTATTAATGAAATGGGAAAATTTACTAGTTTATTATTTAATTGTTTTAGTAATCTTTACCTTTTAAGTTAGTTATTGATCAAATTTCCAGTCTCACATTCTCTTCCTGGTCCCCTTCTAATCTACTATATTTTTTAATTGAAAGGATATTGGGCTCTCACCCCAGGTGGAGGCAAGTGGTGGATCACAGCTCACTGCATCCTCCAATCTTGGGCTAGCAATTCCTCCTGCCTCGCCTCCAGGTGCTGGGGTACGGCTGCGTCAAACCTGGTATTTTTCTCTTGCTTTTTTTATTTTATTATTTATTTTTTTTTTGCCATGGGGTCTCGCTTGTTGTCCAGCTTTGTCTTTAACACCCTGCTCAGCGATCCCCACTCAGCCTCCAATGTTGCTGGGCTTTATGGCATGGGCTGTGGATCCCAGCTACTATAAAATTTTTTGTCTCCCTTGATGCTTTTCTTGTTATGAAACATTCTCTTACATATCGATATTTATTTTATGGATTTTTTTACATTATGCTTACTTCTTTTCATTTAAAATTCCTTGGATCATTCTACGCATTATAGTGGGTTTTCATCTTTTGCTTGGTTGTTTGTTTGATAATTATGACATTGTACCTTTTTGGGTGGGTTTCTTTCTTTCTTCTTTTTTTTTTTTAGACAGAGCTTTGTTGCCCGGCTAGAGTGTAGTGCCGTGGGTCAGCCTAGTCACAGCACCTCAAACTGCTGGGCTCAGTGATCCTCCTGCCTCAGCCTCCGGGTGCTGTGGCTACATGCATGGCCACCATGGCCTGGCTAATTTTTTCTATATATATTAGTTGACCTTAATTTCTTTCTATTTATACGTGGAGACGGGGTCTCACTCTTGCTCGGTGTTTGGATACTTCCTGACCTGAGGCACTCTGCCCACTCGGCCTTCCAGAGTGCTAGTCGGCGTTGATCCTGCACCTGCGGTTTCTTTTTAGAAATTCTCAGTCATGCCCGCTGGTCTCGAACCCCTGGCTGAAGCCATCCTCCCACCCTAGCCTCACAGTAGCGGGGACTACAGGCATGCACCTGATTTTTTAAGTTAAACTTTCTATCTTGATATAATTTGAGATTTGCATGTAATTGTAAGAAATAATACTGAGAGCTCCTATGCACTTTTACCCAGTATACCCCAGTGGTAACATCTTGCAAAATTATAGCACAATATTACAACCAGGATATTGACATTGACACAGTCAGGATACAGAACATTTCTAGCACCGTAATTATTAATATATTGCCCTTTTATGACCATACTCTCTTCCCTTCTGGACCCTCTCCCCCTTAACTCCTGGCAAAATTTGTCATTTCAGGAATGTTACATAAATGGATTAATACAATATGTTACCTTTTGAGATTGCTTTTTTGCACTCAGCACAATTCTCTGGAGATTCATCCAGGTTGTTGTGTGTACTTGATTTTTTTTTATTTATTTTTTTTTTATTTTTCACTGTAAGGAAGGCTTTATTCAGGACCACTCCAATAGGTATAGGGACCGCTGCAATGGCTTGTGGTGAGATTGGGCTCAACTCAGCCTACAACATGAGGAAGCAGGAATTTATAGCCAAGGAGCAGGGTGGGGGTCAGTGGAATGAAGATCAGTAAGAGGAAACATCGGGGGTGAGGGGGATTCTGGTTAAACTGACCTAATAGGATTCTTGCTGAAGACAGGCAGCGTGACCAGACACCACCTGGGGGATGGTGGAGGATGA